AGTTTTAGTATTGAGGGCCGAGGATAAATTGAAGACTATATCTTGTTAACTTGGTCTGTTTTCCAGATTCATTATCTATCTCCATTATCATTATGGCTTTACTTCATCAGATGGTATATCAAACAGAGCTTGATTTTCTCTATTTGGATCTAGCACATTTTTTATGACAAGGTGGTTATATTCTCCTAATAATGTATATTTGATACTTATGTATTATACCGATTTTATCAAAATGGTTTTAGGTGGCTCATGCTGTAAGATGCATGGGGGTAATCTAAGAATTTATTTTTCTTTGAAGACCTCTTCTTTTATCATACATTTTTTTTATGTAAGTCATATTGCCAAAGAACATTATTGATATTATCATTATACTGCTTCATTTCAAGGCCTATTTCCTTTTAGATGTTTGGTTCTCTTGACAGGTGTGTACAATGTGGCACCTGTTCCACCTGCCCTGTTTCATTTGTCTTAGTGGATGCTCATGTGTCCTGGGGTGTCCATGGTTAATCTCATTCGTATCAATCTGTTTAATCAGGATTGCATGTATTGTTTAAAGATGCATGGACGTTACAAAAGTTCGGTAGTGGTATATGGTGTGAAAAATTTGGTGGGAAAGTGCACATTAGGGTGCATTTGTAACACAACCTTTTGCTATAGTATTAAATAAGTTGCTTCTGATATTTCTTAAGTTATATAAAGTATATATGGATGCTGATGAGATGATTTTTGTATTGTTATTAATATTAGTGTGGTGTGGTGGTTTACATAATAGGCGCTGTATACCTATTCACACTTTGTACTTACATATAAGTGTAGTTACTCGTGTCCTGTCTTTCCTATAATCTTTGTCGTAATGGTTTTGGCATCCACCACCACCTCACTTGAATTGTTAAAACCGTCTTTGGCCATCTACACCTCGTTTCACAAGAGAACTTTTGTACGTTTCTCTGCAGGTTTGTTGCCATAGATTCATGCTATGGCCTCTCGTTCTTAATGTTTCGGGTTTCTAAATAACCTCGTTGTCAACTTTTGAAGATTCCTGTCATTATTTTGTATGTGATTTTGTATGTGTTGATCATATCACCTCTTTCCTCTCAAATAACCAGTGGACTTTAATACCAGAATTCCTAAAATTGTTGAAAGCTTAGAAATTTGAAAATTTGGTGGCTAGAAAGGTGGGATCCAAGAGTCGATTCTCGATCCTGCAGGCACAAATAGGTGAGCGTGCGCACATAATATCACACACTCTCACTCTCACACACTCTCACTCTCACACACTCTCACTCTCACACACTCTCACTCGCTCTCACTCTCGCTCTCACACACTCTCACTCTCACACACTCTCACTCTCACACACTCTCACTCTCACACACTCACTCTCACACACTCACTCTCACACACTCTCACTCTCACACACTCTCACTCTCACACACTCTCACTCGCTCTCACTCTCGCTCTCACACACTCTCACTCTCTCACATACTTACTCTCACATACTCACTCTCACTCACTCACTCACACTCTCACTCAGTCACTCTCACACGCTCACATGCACTCTCACTCTTCTGTGTTGTGTTGTCCTTTTGAATTTGTGCTGGCTTATCCGAGGAGATATTTAGGGCTCTGACGTACTGTGTAGATGATTTTGTCTGCTGCTCCTTCCATCTTGCTCTCTTGACTTTTCCTTATTCTTAGATTTCAATTTGTGTTTTCAGAAGTTTCTCAATTTATTTATTTTATTTATTATTTTTTTTAATCCACCGTGAAGTCTGGTATATGTACATGTTATACACATTTGCAAATCTGCATATTAACTTTACTTCAGACTTACTGTTATTTAGTAAATATTTTGATCTAGAATTGATTTTGTGTCTTCTTCTTCAGAATCCATAAATGCTAATCATGAATCTCATATTGTAATTTGTTGTATCTACTTTGCTTTGCCTTTTAGTTATTCGATTTTGTATTTTATTTTTTTTACAATTTTTTTTACTTTATTACAAACAAAAAAGCCTTTAGCAAATATGATAACATTAGATGTAAATACAGGATCCCCCCCCCCCCTCCTCCTTTTGTCTTCAGTTGACATCACATTCACTCCAAAAAATTGTCCACATTCGGGCTATTCATGCCCATGCCACCTCTTGGGTGGCTTAATCTTCATCAATCACTCGATCAATTCAGACATTCATTAGTATTATTGTGGCCAATATTTTATTCAGATTTTAATATATGATATATTTAAGGTTCTCAGACAGGTGAGAGAGTGAGAGGAAAAAAATGGGGGTTCATTTTTGGCTCTGATGTGTACTTTATATTTGCAGGTATTGCATCGACTTACCCCAAACCCAAAGATTTGGCCAAGTTCATCACTGATCAGCAGTATAGCTACAGCTATGATGAAATATCTGCTCTTCCTAAAACTTGGGACTGGCCCGACCTTTCCACCTTCAACCCAAAGCTTTAAGAGTGTAAACTCTTAATTCTTAAAAAAACAAAATCTTATGACTAATAAGCTCTCAAGAATTCTATCAAAGGTTTTCTGATTTTATCTCTGAAGAAAAACATTTTTGCTTCATATACTGAAAACCACCTGTTCACTGATATTGTGCTGATGTAGCAATTCATGTAAAGGCAAGAAGTGTAATACAGTATATTGTATAAATCATAACTTCTGTGTTAGTAAACATATTAAAGAGTAACATTTCTGTTAGGGCACCAACATTATTAAATACTCTAGTTCTCTCCCAGACATTAAATTTGCAAATAAAGATTTGGTAAGATAGTTTATATTATTTACAGCTTATTAATGCTGAAATACTTACTTAACTGTTGTGTGAAGGTGGATTTAAGTCTTTTTTTTTTATATTTATGGAAAAAAGATATGTAATATGCTAGTAGACACACTACTGTATTTTGTGATATAATCTTTTGTATCGTAGGTGAGGGCGGTCAGGTGACTTTAGCAAGTCTTTGCTTGTCTAATACATCCTATAGGCTTTTTATCGAATTCGTCATAATTTTTAGTCCATGCACACATTTCTTAAAATGTCAAGATCTCTAAAAGAAAACTACTTAAAGTTGCATTTGCCCGACATAAAATATTATTTTGATGTTTTCAACGTGTAGTCATCCCTGTCCTAAGGCTAGTGCCTTCATTAGGTAAAGTATTGATTGCACTACCAAATACTATTCTGCACCTATAGACTGGTATTATACATAAAACAAATGTCAATTTTAGGGTTTACTTGTATTAGAAATTAAAATATGCCAAACAAATACAATATTGTGTGTGCTGTAATGGTCAAGCTGTCAACAATAACATGATCTAGAGTGAGCTTTTGAATGGTATACAGCAAAGGTTTTTGTTAACATACTGGTACTTTTCATTACTAATGCTTGAAACTTTTATTCAGAGGCCCTTTGATTACAGGATCTCTTTGATAATGATTTTTTTTTTTTACTTTATGGCCATTAATGATAAAACTATGTATACAATTCAATTTAATGTTTATATCCTGAAGCTATTACAAGTCCATACAAATTACTTTTGGAAATAATGAAGAAATCAGAAGAAATGTAACCATTGATTCATGATGAAACAACTAGCATTTCATATTTTGATTTTTCATCTCTAGTTTCAAATCATATCCACTTAGTTTTTATTAGTACAGGAGACTAACTGGAGCCTAATTATAAATTTTGATCCAAATTGTTTTCCTAATCTGTTTTGCCAACTAATTACTGCTAAAAATAGCATTGCTATTTATTTGCACTTTTTCCCTTGGTAAAGTGATTTGGCAAGCAAAATATAACTTATCAGCTAGACTTTCTCTGGGCACGCAGAATAGTAGCTATATGCTTGTATATATATATGGAGAGCCAGTTACTAGGGTCTACAAGTAAATCAATAATTTTTATTTTCCTAAGGGAAACCCAAGATAATTTGTCTTATATTTTTTCAGAATGTTTGTAAAGTATAAATGGTGCAAAGTGTTTGCCAAATTTTTATACAGATGGCTTTGTGACCCCATGTATTGTTAAAACATTTCATGGACTTGACTACCTATCATTTAAATATAAGGTACGAGTTGTAACCTTCAGAAACATCCAGAGGCCAGAGTGCTTATATATTTTTTTCACTGCCGTATTTTACTGAAAGGAGTTACATACAGTATCATGTGTAAGTTAGTGTATTATGTAAGCTAAACCATTTGTTAATAACTCATGAGATGTATTTATTTCCCTATCATGTTTTTATCAACAGTGTGTAGTTGTGCAAGTAGAATAAAATTGTAAGGACTTTTAGACGTTTAATGTCCCCTTTTACACTTGCCGTATTTCTTTGATTTTGCTGGTGATAGCCTTCCTGGTTTGGTGCCTTCTTTTGATAATTACCTTACCTTGCTGGTGATAATTCAATTCTTGGCAAATTGATTGGTGGTCAGTTATTTTAAGTATGATAATTAAGGAATTTGGCATTTTTGATTAAAGACTTCCGATAGCAAAATTCACTTGAACATGCATTTCGTGTCCAATTCTAATGTTTTCATCATCAAAGGTTCCCTTTTCATATTTTTTCCAATACTGAAATGAAAAAGGTTTCCTGGATAAGGCAAATATTTACCACAAAAATGCATCGAACCTTGAATTGATACTGCAAATTTGTATTGCGCCCCCAATCCCTGCCAATCTATGTTGGACTTCTGACATTTTTCCCAGGATACAAACCACAACAGTTGCCCAACTCCCAGGGTACCTATTAACTGGTAAGTGAATATCATATGTTCATTTGTTAGATGAACAGTGGCAGGTGAAAGTAAATGTGCCTAACCATTTATATCCAACCTGGGATTAAACGTAGGCCATTGTATTATGGCAAGACTAGTGATATCAATGGAATCATATCCACTGAGGATTTTATTAAGGGGTATATGACAGGAACTGGGGGGAGTGGAAAAATTTCCTATCTTTAAAATCTTAACATGCTACGAGATTGGGAACAAGGCAGTCCTGATAGCATGGTATAGGTCTCAATAAGTTCCCAACAGTTAAGATTTATCTTAAACATCAGGGGAGGGGATTAATTAATTTCATTAGCAGCAGCAACCCCTCACCCCAATAAAACAAGATAATAATAATGCTTGCTTACTGCTGTTGTCATCAATCATCCTACACTGGAGAGTCTCCCTGCGTTCATATGTATGGAGGAGGGGCTCAACATCACCTTATTTGGGAAATCGGCTCGAATCTGTCCCATTTGTCATGAGTACACACTCGCCAAGACTTATCCCCACTCTCCTTGGGCAGGGATGACCTCTTTCTAATTACTCTATATATTATATCTGCTGTCGATTAAACTGCAACTGTTTGTTTCGCTCGCTCGGAATTCCTCACCAGGACTAGCACAAAGGCATGTTGTCTACATACAAACATTTATTAACAAAAATACAAAGAATAAAGAAATTAGAGCATATTATCATCAGGTCCCACAAACTAACATCACTCTTATATAATACCAGTGCTCCAACAACACACTTCACGAGTATGCTTCAATGTTCACCAGCAACCTGTTGCCTCCTCTCAGTCTGGACTAGGCAAGTTTCACATAAATTAACTAACAAATAAATATTATCGTTCTCACCTTGTACTGTGGCATTCATAACATGAATTCATGCACGCCTTCAAGTAAGGCAAGGTAATTATCAAAAAGAAGGCACCAAACCGGGAAGGCCATGTAGCACCATCAAATGTGCGGAATAATCAGAGGGCGCTAAATATCACCAAGGATGCCAATACGAGAACAGAAACGCATAAGGCGAACGATATCAAAAGTATCCGAGTCACCAAGAATACTATCGAGAGACAAACGACCACGGGGGACAGTCGGAAAACAAGACACACGCTCGTCCCAGAAGTCAGGACATTCAACAAGGATATGCACGACCGTAAGATGGACAATGCAATTAGGACAATAAGGAGCAGAGCGGCGCTCCATCAAGTATCCACGAGTTAAGTGAGTATGGCCAATATGCAACCTCGACAGAGCCGTTTCCCATCACCGGTTACGATGGTAGGAGGACGGCCACGAGGACACACAACTTTTAAGAGAACATAATTTGTTACCAGTAACAGACGACCAACAAGCCTGCCAATGGGTAAGGATGGAGAAAAGGATAAAAACGCATAAGGGTAAAAGTCGGAACAAGGAATACCTTTACGAGAGATGAGGCAAGAGCGGACAGCTTCCTTAGCAGCCAATACGCATCCGCACGCTCATTTAAAGAAACACCAATATGGCTGGGGACCCTTTACAAAGCGGACTCAAGCCAACTTAAAGACACACCAATATTGGGAACTGTAAACAAAAAACAGCCAACGCTGGATCTCGACAACCACTGGATGAACCGGATTAAAGGACCCGAGAGCCATGAGGGGACTACGAGAGTCAACAATAACTACGAAGGAAGATTGACAACGAGAAAGCAGGAGATGAAGAGCATAGAGAATAGCATAAAGCTCCGCTGTGAAGATGCTAGTCTCCGCAGGTAAGCGATACATATAAGCGTGATCAGGAAAAACAACAGAGTAGCCAACACCATCCGCAGACTTAGACCCATCGGTGAAGACAGAAACGGAGCGGGAGTGAGAAGAAAAGGGCTCAAGGAAAAGGTGCTTTAGAACCGTAGGAGGGGTAAAAGCTTTAGGGATGCGGGTCAAGGACGTAGAAAACTGCGGAAGGGGGACTCTCCATGGGGTTAAAGAAGGAACAACACGAGGAGAAATATTAGAAATACGAACGGAAAGAGAATCCTGTAAGCGAGATAACCGGACAGAAAGACGGGGTGGTGAAGAGGAACAGGAACCGCAGGAGGGGTAAAAGTTAAAGCACGACAGAGGCGAGATGAAGGATATTGCAAGGGCCGCGCATGATAGCGAAGACAGTAGCGATCACGGCGGTCCTGGAGAGATTGGAAGCCAGTGTCAACATACAAGCTGAGGACGGGAGTCAAACGAAAGGCACCAGAACTGAGGCGTAACCCAGTATGGTGCAAAGCATCAAGACGGCGAAGAGTAGAAGGAGAAGCAGGCGAGTAAGCAGGGCAACCATAATCGAGCTTAGACAGGACGAGAGAGGAATGTAAAGCAAGGAGAGTGCGCCTGGTACCTATTTACTGCTAGGTAACAGGGGCATTCAGGGTGAAAGAAACTTTGCCCATTTGTTTCTCCCTCGTGCGGGAATCGAACCCGCGCCACAGAATTATGAGTCCTGCGCGCTATCCACCAGGCTACGAGGCCCCTGTAGGTCCGCCCCTTGTGGGTCCGCCACAAGAGTACCACAGAGGTGAAGGACCGGTAAAACATCGGGAACGAACTTACCCGCTATCTTGCGGAATTGCTTCCAGATCTGTGGCAGAGGAGTTTCGGACGTAATTGTTGAGACATAAGACGCCCAACATTCACGTTTAGCCGTACGGATGGCCCTACGGACCACAGCACTCGCCTTCTGAAAGAAAAGAAAAGAATCGGCCGTCTGCCGATGGCGGTGTCACTTCCAGGCTGCACGCTCACAGCGGACAACCCGAGCACAGTCTGCATTCCACCAGGGAACGCACTTCCGTGGACCCCGAGAGGAAGAACAAGGAATAGAGTGGAGGGCAGCGTTGAAGACACTGTCATGAAAAAGGAGGAGAGAGCGAGGGAGAGGTAGAAGGGAAAGGTCAGAGAGAGCAGCACTGAGGGTGAATAGGTTCCAGTCCGCTTTAGCAAACTGCCACCTAGGGAAGGAGAGGGGAAGGTGAAAAGAGAAAAAGATAACAAGGATGAGGAAATGGTCACTGCCATGGAGGTCATCAAGAACCTGCCACGTAAAATCTAAGTAAAGAGAAGACGAGCAAAGAGAAAAGATTAAAACAGGAAAGAGTGCGAGTCCGCGAGTCCAAATGCGTGGACTCACCAGAATTCAGAAGAGACAGGGAAGAAGAGAGAATAAACAGCTCAAGAAGGCGACCTCGGGTGTTCGTCAGAACATCACCCCAAAGGGAATGACAATTGAAATCACGCAGCAGGAGCACAGGCTCCGGCAAGGAGTCCAGTAGGTGTTTCAAATCAGGAAGAGAAAGTGGGACTCTCGGGGGGGAGATAAATGGAACAAACGGTGTACCATTTCCCCACAAAGATACGAGCAGCAGAACAATGGAGAGGCGAAGGAAAAAGTAAGGGGACAAAGGGAACATCAGAGCGAATCAAGAGAGCAGAAGAGTTAGGAGCCCCAGCAACAGCTGGGGATGGAGGGAAGAGAAAGGAATAGCCACGAAAGCGACCAGGACGAGCACCAAGCATCGACTCCTGGAGACAGACACAAAGGGGCGAAAACCGCGAAATCAGAAGTTGGAGTTCAAGGAAATTGGCGTAATAACCCCAAACGTCCCATTGAAGAATAGACATCGACGAGAAGAGAAAGGACAACAACAGAGAACAAGGAAGAAACAAAGGCGAAAGAGCAATATAGCATGTTAAAGAAGATCAGGGTCGGGATCAGGGTCAGCAAAGTCAGGGTTAGGGGGCATGGGTAAACTGAGCAAAGACGGAGGGAAGGAAGCTGGAAAACAGACCAGAGGTGGACGGGCGGGGTCCAGAGGAGGAAGAGAAGGAGGAGAAGGAGGAGACAACGGAGAGGAGCAGTCAAGGACAGCAGTCAAGGACTTGTGAAGGAGGAAATGTATATGTTTACCTCTCAGAATGTTTGGTAATGTGTTTATTTGTGATGTGTGTCTATGTATATATTAACACGTTGTACTGAATGGGGTGAGAATAGCTTGAGCTACCTCATCCCTTTGTGTGTATTTTACCTCAATAAACTTATTTCAATTTCAATTTCAATTCCATTGTTGTTGTTGTGTTAGTCATCGGAGCCATTCTGCTTCCCTGTTCGATTTCTAATTTTAAAGTTTATCAGATTAACGACATTAAAGGTGATTAGTTCTTCCTTCACTGTTCCATACTGTGTATCCTTCCAGACATCTTGCCACTCTCTTTGTCAGGGGTTTTATCTTGTGGTCGTAGAAAGAATCAATGTTTATCATGGACGCATCACAGAGCTGCACCCAACTCAAGTGCCTAGTCTTCTGAATGATGACAAGCTAGAAACCAGAGTAATGAATTCGCTTTTAGGAGATTGGGTAGGCATGAACGACCTAATGTCTATGGTCATTAGAATCAGCACAAAATTGATTAGTCAAATTGGCTGGAAACCCAGCAAACGTTGACTGGCTGTACTGGCATTGGCAGCTTTAACGATGTTAGATTTTCAGCACTAGAGTCGGCAAGCAAGATAGGTTATAAGGGCAATGGGAGCACAAAGTCAGCTTCAATAACAAACTTTCATTGGCACATAAGGCACATTGGCACTTTTCATTGGTCTTAAGAGCACACAAAATTGCATAAAACTCCACCATAAAAATACTCATCCCTAGGGAGGCTTATTTAACTTCTGTAACTCATTTGATACATAATTAAGATATGTTAATGTTAATTTAATCAGGGAATAAATTCACACTGCACAAACGAGTTACGCAAAGCTTGTACGATAGCTAGGTGCAAGTAACTAAGCTATAATTGTAATTAATAATTGTAATTATTATTAATTATAATAAATTGTCCCAAACTATGTAGATGTTTTTCTTCCAAATCACAGAATATAACGAGCTCAAGCCTCCAGACTGGCTCATTCATCAACAGGTTATGCAATGGTTATTCAGTATACAAAACCCTTAGATGAAATTATCAGAGATGACTGTCTCCAGCATTGTGGAGAGACCAGTTATAAGTTCCAGTTTCCCCACTTTACAACAGCGGCCGTTCCTGTCATATACATGTATCTAACTCTAGATGACCTCGTCCTCTCAACTAATGCAGTTCATTTTGTACGCTTTTTCCCCATCGTATGAAACAAGGAGTACTAAGTAGCAGTTCGCAAATATTCACTTTTTCTATGCGTGAGTTGGTTACATGAGGAAGTGACTTGGGTTCGTGTGTTTTAGTACCCTTATTTTGCAGGTGGCAAATCAAGAGTTATTTTACAAGAGTTTTTACATTCTTGTAAAGCCACTAGCATGTGTAGCGTTTCGGGCAAGTCCTTACTCCTAATTTCCCCGGAATACGACCCCGCCGAATCATTTAACAACCAGGTACCTATTCACTGCTGGGTGAAGAGAGGCTACAGTTAAGGATTGGCGCCCGGTCAATCCTCCCCGGCCAGGATTCTAACCCAAGCCTTAGCGCTTGCGAAACGCCAAGCGAGTGTCTTACCAAAGAGAACGGATCGACCCTGGAGCCATTGTGCAGAACCACATGCAGTTTTAAGCATATGTTTCCCACATCCGACGGATTTGAATTTTCCGACAGCGCATATCTCGCAGTAACAACACAACAGTTCCAACATTAGGGGGGAAAAATAATCACATTCTTCAACATAGGCCAGGAGATGCGCACCAGCGCTCGCAGTGTTGCCATGAGTTAGTCACTGGTTTCTAGCAAAATTACCTGACTTACCTGATTAAAACTCGTAGAATTGTTTGAATTCTCTGGACAATTCCACGTTCACATTACCTCCAACCTGAAAACTTAGTTAAGATTCTGCATGTCGTACTCACAGTTCCATGGTCCATTTAGATTTATATGTTAGACAATATTGAACAAGAAGTAAGCTACCTCAAAACGTTTAAATAACCTAATTGAATTACAGTATTTTAAATTATGACCGAAACGCTTTGCGTGATTCGCTGGCCTTATTAAATATACATACTCTAACAATTATTAAACCACTATCATATCCTTTTATATATTTTTAAATAAAAATTATCATCATCATCGTCATAAAAACATTCACCCAAACGTATTGAGATGAACAAGGACGATTCTCTGACTCGTGAGAGGGACAGGGGCAACAATGACGGTAATAATAGGAATCTGTGTACAAAGAAGTTCCTGAGCATGATGAGTTGGCGTTATTTACGTTACACAACCAGTTACCTGGGATCAGCGGCCATATATAGCAGGGCAAGCCAGTTTCCAAGACCAGTCTCTCCAAGTTTGTTGATTGTGAAGGAACCAACTAGTGCAGAGTTGCAGGACACCCTTGTTCTGGGAAGGTACGTCATTTAGTATATACCTTTCACTGTGTTGTATACAGATATGTCTGGATGTAGGCCAGTGTACATCTTGCATCATATGATGTATTCAGAGCTATTTTTCCTGAGAAATAATGGGATGTAAACTCACAAGCATAAATACTGTTTTCCATGTCGATAGATATTGCTCAGTTTCATCAATGTGGGACCAACAGAGCAACCCGTCCTCGACTCCTTTACATCCAGCGGTCGACCCCACAGACGCATTCATAAATTTGTACATGCTGTTCATTCAAAACGGGAATTTTCTCAAATATAAATTAATATTATAATAAATTATCATATTGTGCATATATAGGCATGGTTAGGTCATGTGTTTAGGTTCTGTTGGCGATTATTTAAATAAATAAATGTTTATTCAGGTAAGGTACATACATACAAGAGGTTTTACAAAAATTGATAGATTTATAGATAGAGCTAGTACATACAATGCCTAAAGCCACTATTACGAAAAGCGTTTCGGGCAGGAAAAACATTAAAGACTAAAACTTAATACTAATTGAGTTTAAAGTATTAAATGTGTTGAGAACAAATAAAAATAAAAAAGGGGGAACATGGCTGAAAAAAGCAGCACAAATACAATTAGGTCGACAAACAGCGTTGTTTAAAAAAAACAGACATGGGTTGACAATATAGGGGTAAGGTAGTTTACAGGGAATTTATTAGGCAGTGCTTCGTTTTTATCTTAAACTGGTTGAGAGAGGTACAGTCTTTAACATGGTTGGGAAGGTCATTCCACATTCTGGGTCCCTTGATTTGTAGAGCATTTCTAGTTTGATCAAGTCGTACTCTTGGAATATCAAAACTGTATTTGTTTCTGGTGTGGTGCTCATGGGTTCTGTTACAACCTTCAATGAAGCTTTTGAGGTCAGGACTGGCATTACAGTTCAGCGTTTTAAATATGTATAATACACATGAGAGAATGTGCAGTGACTTAATGTCTAACATATTCAGAGATTTGAGTAGGGGTACCGAGTGATGTCTGGGGCCAGAGTTGGATATTGTCCCAATAGCAGCTTTGTGTTGAGTAATTAGAGAACGTAAATGATTTTGGGTAGTAGAGCCCCAAGCACAAATACCATAGTTGAGATATGGATAGACGAGAGTGTAATAAAGCGTCACCAGGGCAGGGCGAGGTACATAATATCTGATCTTAGAAAGAATGCCAACAACCACGGAAGCGACCAGGACGAGCGCCAAGCAGCGACTCCTGGAGATAAACACAAAGCGGGGAAAACTGCGTCATTAGAAGTTGGAATTCATGGAAGCTGGCATAAAGATCACGAATATTCCATTGAAGAACAGACCGACAATAAAAAGAGAACAGAAACAGAGATAACAAGGAAGAAACAAAGGCAAAGTAGAACACATTACACTACGGAATAACAAGATCAGGATCAGTGAAATCAGGGTGAGGGGGCAGAGGTAAAGCTAGCAAAGATAACCGAGACAAGGGAGCGGGAGGCTGGACCAGAGGCGAACGGACAGAGTCTGGAGCGGGAGGAGGCAACGGAAAGGGGCGGTCAAGGGAATCGGGGACAGGAAGGACAAACAGGTGAAAGTACCAGAGCAACGGCAGCATCCAAGAGGGAATCGAGGACCAAGGAAACCACCATAGGAGGGACAGGAGTGAACTGCTACTGAAAAGGGAGGGGAAACAGGGATAGTGTCGGAGTTGGAAGGTGAGGAATACATTTAAGTCTTCTTACCCGCTGGGGAGGAAGAAGGAACTATTTTTTTTAACTAAAGTATCAGGGGGGAAGCGCCAAGCCATTACGACTACGTAGCACTTGGAAGGAATTAGGATTTGAGATAGGACGAAGGAAAAGGAATGGTTCCCAACCACTTGGACGGTCGGGATTGAACGCCGACCTACATGAAGCGAGACAGTCGTTCTACGATCCACACCAAGTGGTTGGGGCAGGAAGAAGGAGAGGAGCCAGGCTTACGCTTCTGACGTAGAGAGACAGGCGTAAAATCAACAATATACTGGGCAACCGTTTTGACAGTTACAACAGGAGAACGGGAACGGGCAACATAACGAACGCTGGGAGGAGGATGGGCAATGGCCTGAACAGACAGGCAGCGAGGAGGACCAAGAGACAGAGGGAGGGCTGAGGAGGAGGAGGAGTGGGGCGAGAAGGGAAGGAGGGCACAGGAGACGAGGAAGACCGGGAAGGAGGGCACAGGAGACGAGGAAGACCGGGAAGGAGGGCACAGGAGACGAGGAAGACCGGGAAGGAAGGAAACACCAGACTGAGAACCAGGTGGAGACCCCTCTGGTCCAGAACGCAAAGGAGCAGACGACGTGGTGGAGGTGTTGGGGTTCAAGGCCTCGAAACGGTTGCGAAAAAGGGAAAGCGGGTGAGGGCGAGACGAAGGGGCACGCAATACACGAGCGTAGGACATGTCAGAGAAAGAGAGAAGACGGCGAACCTAGACCCTAGTCTCAGTTAAAGACAAATGATCACGATGCTTCAAATAGAGGACGGCTTCCTCAAATCCACATACGCGGGAGAAGGCAGGATGGGCGCCACCGCAATTGATGCAGAGTCTGGGAAGAGGAGCACTCCGTCTTAGAATGACCCGAGGTTCCACACAAGAGGCAGAGAGAGACCTCACTTGTGCACCTGAAGGAATACAACTCTCCAGCACCTGCTGCAGAGGCGAGGAGAGGGGTTGTACTCCTAAACGGAGCATCTGGCACCAGAAAGAATGACTGAAGAGGGAAGGGACCTACTATCTAACGTGACCTTCACAACGCAGAGGCTGATGTCGACGACCACTGGAAGGTCAAGTCAGGATATCCACCTGGAGGATAGAATGGCCTTGGGTTTCAAGGATATAATTAATATCCTCGTGGCAGTCTTTAAGTTACCTGTCACCAGTCGCAAAATGGTACCAGAAGAATTGTAAATGCAGGCTTTCAACCGAACATTTTTGGAGATCCGAACAGAGGTGTCCCCAATGCCTGACTCACAATAAATTGTGTCATGTGTAAACCGTTTTCATTCATAAACAGGGGGTTTGGCGGGTGCATGGAATGGACTTTGGGTCTTTGTTAGGACGGGCTGCACTCACTCACTCACTCACTCACTCTCACACACACACAATGCCTTCTCTACCCCAATGTGGGGAAATGGTCCACCCAAGTGAACTGTCATGTAGTTTGTCATTTCCAGGTTAATTGTCCACGATGAAAGGAACCCATGTTACCTGGGTACTGCTCCTGGTGCAGCTAGCTACGTCGCAGGTGAGATTTGTTATTTATGTATTCAGTTTAAGAAACTTTTGGGAATATTTGTGTTAACACAATAATAATTATTAATTTGTAGCAATAATTTAATTTTATTTCATAATTATGTTTTGTTTAAACTTTTCTTTTTGATTAACAGGCCAAAGTGGAGGCCGAGGAGTCGGCGCCCTACCAAGTGATCAAAACTGAAGAGGTGAGTAAAATTGTCTGTCTGTCGGTGCCAACCTGTTTGAAGGTGGGTTCTGCTGTAGATCCGTCTTGGTTGATTTGTTCTATTGACATTTAACAATTAATAAATAGATTGTGCACGTATAACTGAAGTGTATTAGTATTCACTTATGGCACAACTTTCACATGGTATATGTACACACACACATGTATGTATATCACAAACACGACCCTACAATAAACACACACAATTTACTAATTTCCAAACATGTCAAAACTTGAGACAAATCTATGTTAACCAAGTTTAAATTATTAACACGACTTAAACAAATTTAAATAATATTTACCAGTTTTTTAGCACCCAAACAACTTCAAACTTTCTGAAACAACTGAAATGAAAACCATTATAATATGTCCCAGAACTAAAGCCCAACTGCGCTTACCTCAGGGATTCGAGGAGCGGCTGTACCCACCTACAAAATGGGTGTGCTACGATGACGTCGACCAAGTCTACACCTCCAAGAGTCAGACCAAAGCCTTCCTCAGCCTTTTCCGTTATATTACTGGTGCCAATGATCAAGGTAAGGCTGAACCTTCCCCTCGGATTTCATATAGTATATCTTATATGTCCAGGCAGGATCTGTAATAATGTCAGTGACGAAAGTTTAGCGTTTCCAACAGTCACGCCTTAAAATAGACCGTAACGTTTTCTATACATTTGTAGGTTGAACATTATCTTTTCTTTCAATTTAATAAGAGATACCAATGAATTAATAAAATAAGTGCATCACAGTGTTTTTTATCTTCTATCATGTAATAGAAATTATGGGAGAAATATAATTATTGAGATCAAAGAGCATGAATAGTGTATATGGATAGAGTACAGCAAACAATATCATGAAACTAGACCCTGTCCAAACAGTGGGCTCAACAATATGGTCCCGGGTTCGATGTGGGTACGTTTCGGTACAGCAATGCGAGTACGTTTGCCAAGTTAACGTTTACCTGATGCCCCTTAACTGTTAGTAAATTTAGGCAGTCCCCCACTTTAGTAAATAGGTATACCTGTGAGACAGGAGACTGTTGTGGGTTGAAATCCCAAGAAAGGCAAGTCATTTACCTGGGGAAACCTCGATCAATAATCCACGCATTGGACTGGACGTACCCTCAGGTGAAATGGACGTTTTCCGGTGACCGAGCGGCAACACTGAAAAGTGTATACTCTTTTCGCTGTCCTGACCTTAATTTTCGATGTACAGATTTCATTTTTGTACCAATGTGTTCGCAATAGAATGATTTATAAGAACATATGTATATGTCATCAAAGCATGAGTTAAATCACACAAAAAGCTAAAGAATTACATCGATCACTAGCCGTGAGCTCCAAACAGCGACGAAATGTTTCTATTCTTTTCAGGGTTGTCAACTCCACGCTTGTCCTACAGCGTTAAATTTGGTATCACTATGATCGCAATTAAATTCCCTACACGAATATATGCATATAAATGTAGAATCATGATCGCGGCCAACACCAAGAGTGTGTGAAGTGGGCGATTACACTCGCCATGTCAACAATACAATAGTCTTTCCACTAAGTTACAATACAATGCCGTTCTCCCAAATAGGCCATGTGCCTATTAGAGAAAACAAATATTTAATGGCAAACATTTTCATACTATCCCCAAGTCGATCGAATAAGAATTGGTTTTTATACAAATATTTTTTAATCGCGCGTAAAATTACGACGCTACAGCAACTCGTGGTAAAAATACCGGTATTTACGCGTCGTTTATTTACGGCCCCGGGGCGCTAAAGTGATTAGCAGGCGTCCTGCCTTCGACGATGGGAACATTTCATCAATTTGATATTATTATTTGCATCATAACAAATATACCTGAAATTGGAAAGAATAATGTTAGAGTAACGTTGTATTATACGTTTGGTTAAGTGTATTTATACTCGAGACAATATTTGCGACTAATACACTGTGGGATCCCCATTCTTGTTCGACCCATCGGTGCATAACATTGAACACTTATCTATAGTTATACTGAACATTTTACAATATCACTACATCATACCTACGCTTATTTGTATACACAAAAATAGAAGCTAACTATAGTAGCTTTTTATAATCTGGTGGGAGAACCTTAGGAGCCTCACCCCCCAGCATTACCTGAATTTACCCGAGGACCACTGAAGTCTAGTGGCCTCGACGAGGACAGGAAACCGGCGGCTTGTCGAAGGCCCCCCCCCCCCCCATTTGCCTTGATAATCTTTTCCAGCTGGATTTTGAAATTCAACAGTCTTGGCATTTACAGCTTCGGCGGGTAGGCAGTTCCATCGGTTTACAACCCTATGGGTGTGAAAGCATTTCTTCTTCTCAGTCACTAGAGCACTCCTCACTACCTGGGGTGAGGCTTCTTCCGGTATTCCGTTGGGTCTTGCAACTTCTAAGGCTGGCAGGTCGATGCATACCAGAGCTGTGAGGAATGTCACACAGTGTCTTCCTTACAAACTGCTGACGCGCTAGCCATAATATCTGCTTAAAATGTATTATCAAGGAAGTGAAAAGAATTGTTCAAGTAGAATTTTATTCCGAGTTTAATTTTCTAAAGTTTTAGTGTACAAGCAGTGTTTAAGGCCTATCTTTAATATTTTTACTTGAATCCTGAAAGACAGAAAATACAACAGAATAATTGTGGGGTATATATATAATAGAAATGGGTGTCGTTTCCCCTCGCAGGTGTGTCCATGGCGATGACCGCCCCGGTCACCATGCTCCGCCAGGAGCTTAAAGACTCCATGACGCGCTACCAGATGTGCTTCTACCTGCCGAAGGCCCGCCAGGGGACGCCCCCGTCCCCGACAGACGAGGGCGTCTACATCGAGGAGCGTCCGGCCATTACAGTTCTCACGAGGTGGGTGAGGTTGTCATGTCGGTCAAGTAATTTGTTTAATTTTTTTTTACATTGATTCGGAATAGACTAAAAGGTCTTGTGTATGAAGGTCTTTGAATTGTAAATAAAGAATTCAACTTAAAGAGGCAAATATTGGTTAGGAATTTTTTTTTATAGTGGAATATATATTACCAACTAGCAATTTACTAGCATAAAAAAAACGATGAATACATCTGTGAAAATTATTGTATCTAAGACCAGACACGTACGGGTAATTAGATTCTGCAATTCATTGTATTCACGGTAAAGTAGCATTATAATTCTCTACTGCTTTCCTTAAAACCGTGTATGGACTGCTGACCAAATATTAGCATCATATGCATGATCCCCCGCGAGTGTGTGTGTATTTATACGCGTTAAATATCAGTACAAATATATGGAAGGACCTTTTTGCCAGAACCATCGGAGGCTTCATCACCCGCGAGACTCAGTGGGAGAACGAAGCCTCGGCCCTGCAGGAGGTTCTTCAGGCCGCTGGCGAGAACATTGATTTCTCCTTCTATTACAGGTAAGAATTTCGATCTAGTCAGTGTTAAAAATAATTTGAGAAGTATTAACTGTTAACAACAAATCACAGATTAGCCACTTAAATGAACTACGAGCTAATTCCCGAATCTTTGTTGGTTTAGTCGCACACCCTCCGTCACTATGTGATGGAGTGCGAAAAGATGCGTGAATTTAGAGACGATTCTATAACCAATGTTCCAACTATGTGTAAATATTTCATTCAAAATTATCTGCTACCAGAAATTTTAGCCAAATATCTCCAGTTTGCTAACTGTAGGTAGTAACTAAGTGATTGTAACCTATCCACCGCTGCCCACTGGATGGGGGGCGGTGTGCAGGACAAACATATAAATTTTGACACTAGCTCTCCACATATGTCAGTTGCTTAATTTAGAAACTACTTTAGGTCGATCTCGAACACATTGCTGATGTGACAATGTGTATTGAATTTTGTAACTAGCTCATCAAGATTGTAACTTGCTTAGCTAAATGAATTGTGGGGTTCAGTCCCTGAGCCCATTATGTGCCTCTGTAACCCCTTTCCACTACCGCTCACAAGATGGGTATGGGATACATAGTAAATGAACTAAACTGAAACTAATGCTCTGCTCCTTCCTCTCTAGGGCCGGCTACGACTCTCCTATGAAGTTTGAAAATAGGCGGAATGAAATTTGGTTCTTGAAGAAATAGGATTACAGCAGCTGCGGCGAGGCACGAAAAAGAATCGGATATGTCTATCCGTCTGATAGACAGACAGACTGACAGACACACAAAGATATCTCAATGTAATTGTGTAAATACACTGTAATGCCGCCTGCTGCTGGTGCGTGTACCACCACCTTGACGACGACTGCAGCTTCTACGTCTACCACTACCGTCACCTCGACTGCAACTGCACTGCAGGCTATATTGCTGAAAGTTCTGCAGCTGAAGAAGCCAATATCCTTGTATATCCTCTTACTAATTTCCCCACACTTGTTTTAAACATAACCTGCTATAGTCTTCTCTCGGTTAACATTATACATGCTAGTGTGTATGTGTTAAAGGTGTTTAGTGGTCTTTTTGTAGGACTGCCTGTCAACTGTAACCCCCCCCTCTATCCAACTCTCGTCTCAGTCCATGGTGAGTTTGAACGTTAAGGTGACTTATTTCGTGTTTTCCAAACTTAAGATGTGTGATTTCAGGGACAGACATGCGTAGTGGTCTCAATGTGTTGTGACTCGCATTGTATATTAATCTTGACAGAGTGAACATTAAGTTTAATTGCTTGAATTATGATACTTATGTTAAATATACTTTGTTAACTTGCTTTTTAATCTGACTGTTCCCTAGATCTTGGATTTCCTGATATATTGCAAGCTAGAGTGTGGAGCACTCTGAGTTCACCGACTTAAGAGTATGAGTACATGCTTATAGCAGATAATAACATGTTAACATTTGATAACAGTTTAGAGTACAGACAAGTTCCATTCCTCGTCTTGGATGTACTGAGTTAGAATGGATGTTGGCAGCCCTTTCTGCCTACTACTCTTCTCTACCTTCCATTTTCTATTTTCTGCTCCTCTCCGTGTTCCCAGTCTCTCCCTACATTTCTTTTCAAACTTTCCCCTTCACCTGACCACACTCCTCGCTACTCCCAAACTCCTTCCCTTACTCCTCCCACCTCTCTCCCTCCCTTACCCCCCTCACTCATTATTTCATTTTTCATTTCGTTTTAATTATTTTCCATATGTTACATGTTGATGCATCGTTCACTCAAAATTGTGCAACCCGTTCTCGCACTTTCTTACAGTCAATATTGACTTATTAAATACGTGCATATGTGACATACTAAACATACTAGTTTACCTTGAAAAGCTTCATAGAAAACACCGACCTTACCTAACCTCCTTAGTATGTTAAGCATCTTATTGCTTCGTAATTACAATTATTACTTGAACCTATACCTATAATAGGTTAGTAATAATTGTAATTATTACTTATATCGACTATACGAAAGTGAGAGAACGGGTTGGATTGTGATATCGTGCTAACTTGTAACTGAAACAACAACAGGTAGAGGTTAATTGGAATGGGGGAATTAAGTCAATTGTCTTGTAAGGTGTAGATCAGAATAATTTATTTGTTTAAGAAACCTCAATTAAAGTAATATAACAGCTCTTAGGCCATCATGGAATATTTAATATTTCAAATATGTTTATATTAAGTAACCAAAATAACATGGTTCAGACAAGCACTCGCCGTTCCATCGGGACAGAACACAATACACAGTATTGATGCATCACTATAACGTGATGCATCAATGAGAAGATCCCCAGGAGCCGTGATGGGGGGGTTCGAACCCATGCGGTGGGTGTTCCCAGCAGCCCGTCCTCCTAAGATTTCCCCCAACGTCAAGAAAACGGTCAAGTTACCTCTCCTAACCTACCAGACGACCCAAAACAGAAGACGGGACAGTGCGTCACTTTCGCCAGCCGCTTCCATTTTCTAGAACGATTGTTGCCCTCATGTATCGCATACGAGCGAAAAGCGACGTTCTGTGTAAGAGGACAGGTTAGTTCCCAGGCACACTCTTAGACGACATTGTTGATTGATAAAGATTAAGCCACCCCAAGAGGTGGCACGGGTATGAATAGCCCGTAAAGACGACGAGGTAGATAGATTGATAAAGATTAAGCCCCCCAAGAACGACGTGGTACCATGTTCCCGGCCTATATAGTCGTCTAGAGCGTGTCATCACCCATGGTGGCCCTTTCATGCCCGTGCCACCTTTTGGGTGGCTTAATCTTCATCAATCAATCAATCGTCATCACCCACCGTATAGGCCCCAACCCTCATCACGGCTACTACAGATTTCCTCACTAAACAATCGTACAACAAATATAAATACTGGCATTATAATAATAAAATGTTTCTGCTGAACTCGAACCATTCTTATCACCTACTGATGGAGATTTTGAAAATTTCCCATTGTCTAAGGGGGGGGGAGAGGGAAGAGGCTGGAAGGTTGTTAGTCTTGTCCCCCACTTCTTCTCCTCCTCTCCACAACCGTAACTAACCTCTCCCAAGATGCAATAGTTGCCCAACTTTCAGATACTCATTTGCTGCAACCTGTTCTTAGATTTATTTGAACATTAAGAAAACTTGCCCAGATGACTCGCTGTTCGGAACTAACTCTGGTCCGCTTGGGCGTGACCCTCAACTGCTCTACATACTGGGATAAGTAATTAACATCTTATGTTAAGCCACACGTAAAGGGGAGACTGAAGATGTTGTAACAAAGGGGATAATAAAAACTTTGATGAATATAATTCACTGTGTCAAGGGGACAGGAAGCCAGAGTGTGTTCATACACGTTAGGCTTTATCGAGGTCCCTTGACCCCAGGGGTCGAATTACTGACCCCGTCCAGGATGCAACCCCACAACAAGCTAACTCCTGGGTACCTACTTGCTGCTAGGTGAACAGAGGCCCGAGGTGAAAGGAAATGTACTCTACCATTTCTGTCCCGCCGGGGATTCGAACCAGGAATTCCCTATTTTGCGTCGAGAACGATCCCGACTGTACTACCGGGACATATTTCCATCACCAAAAGGAACCCAAGTGACGTCTGTGCTTCCTTCAGGCTGATACAAAAATATTCGCGATCAATTTAAAACTATCACGAAAACTAAACTTACTGTCATCTCTGAATTTTGGAGATTAACGAGGTGCAAACTGTTCGAACATGCAGCCCGTCCTCATAAATAAAGGCCAAAGTCCATTCCATGCACCCGCAACCCCCCCGTTTATGAGTTTTTTTTTTTTTAACGACTCTACCGATGACGTTTGAACACTTCCGGAACCAGTACTTTGCTGACGAATTTTGTTCGAAGCACAACGCTATAAATGCTGCACCCACGTACTACAAATAATCACCAACAGAACCTAAACACCTAACCTAACCTATGCCTATATGTGCACAATATGCTAATTATAATATTAATTTATATTTGAGAAAATTCACGTTTTGACTGAACAGCATGTAAAAGTTTATGAATGCGTCTGTGGGGTCGACCGCTGGATGTAATGGACTTGAGTCGAGGACGGGTTGGTAAATGCTTCACCCACGTACTACAAATACAAATATTCGCCAACTGAACCTAAACACCTAATCTAACCAATGCCTAAATATGCACAGTATGCTAATATAAAATACAAATTTATCTGAGAAAATTCCTATTTTGACTGAACAGCATGTTAAAATTGATGAATGCGTCTTTGGGGTCGACCGCTGGATGGAATAAACTTGGTCCGAAGACTGGTTGGAAAACATGATAGTGTAGGCAATAAAGGGCTGGTTCCCGTTCCATCAAATGAACAAACAAGCACGGCAGGACCACAACAGAAAGGAGAGCTACCGAAAGTTCCCTATCCTAGTCAGGTATCTTGAAGAGCAACGGGAAACATAGTGCACCATAACTACCCACCTGGCCTTGCAACACGTAAATGTGACTGAATAGGTTTTGGGTGTATAGGCATGAGAGGATGGCTGCCGTAGCTTCCTTAACGAGCAGTTCATTGCAGTCACTAATACGACCAGGCGCCCAGCGTATCTTCATCTGCTTGTGTTTAATAAAATTTGAGACGGCCAAAATATAATTTAAATAAGTCCAAGGAATATAATAATTAAAAGATTTAAAGGCCATTACTGCACTCGCAGAGTTTAGAGTGGTCAGGGCAGTCAGTTCCCAACCTAATAGTCTTGGGTTAGACTCCCGCGCGGAACGACACATCCTTACACCTAACGGTAACTAGGTACCAGGGAATTGGTTAGCTGCTGTGGGATGCATCCTGGTGACGGTCAGTTGGTGGCCTAGGGAGAACCCCGTAAGCCCAACATACATCTTTTTTCCCCCGACAATGGAAAACAGTGAGGGTAGTATGACGTTTTTGTTAATACTGTAATTTGAATCGAGCAATTTTCTCTAAAGTCGAAGAATTTCATCCTGCAATCGAGAAGATTACTGTGGGAACAGTCATGAGAAAGTCACTTTCCCAGCTCGATAAAACATAACCAAACTACAGTTTCTAACTTATGATCCTTATGCATATATTTATATTTCCTGATGGATGCCTACTACTACTATATTTATTGAACATGTTTATTGTATTTTGTATTTTTTTTATGGACTAATTTTTTCCTCAAGACTTCATAGAGATGGGGAATACTCTTTATTAAAAAAATATATGGGAGGTTCCCGCCTGTTCCTGTTCCAGAGTTCCCCCCCCCCCCATCCTCTTCTCCCTCTCTTCTCTCCTATTCCCTAGAAATTTAATATCACTGACAGCTGAAAACTGCTAAGAAGTCTTGGAAAGTTGGCCCCCGTTCTCCACCTCGGCAACGCAACATACCCCTACTAGTCTGCAACACAAATACTGCAATGCATTTTCTGAGAAAACTTGTGTATTTCCATTTCCAAACCTAGGAAATAGTTTAGTAATAAATGTATGAATAAGATGTGATTTGAACTTTAAATACATCACAAATTCTTGAGTTTTGATTTGTACTTTTTGGGTATACTTTTGGATAACTTTAGAACAATATCTGAATAATGAAAAATGTAGAAGACCTATTGGCCCTGACTAGGCATTTATATGTATCCAAAAGCATTCGTATTTTTAACCTTCGGCTGAAACAATCTAACGAGCCCACGTCTTATGGTCCCCGATAAACTGTTTTGTAAAGATCCACTAAGTTACACCTTTATTGACAAAATCGCACTGTGCTGCACAAACCTGAAGACTGAATAAGGAAAAAAACAAATGTTAAGTAAAAAAATATTCAATTTATTGTACATGTCAGAAATTGGAGCATTTATGTCAACATTATCGGAGTCATAACCGAGAGTAAAGGGCGCCCTTTACCCACTATTATAGCAAACAAAGTCACCGCTAAAGTAGACAACTCATAGGAACAAGACTCGTGCACTCGTCATCACAGCGAACAACGTGGAGACCGTTTCCACGGCTCTGCTGAATGCTGGACTTTTCAAACTGTAGTCGAAGCCAAGAAACGTTACTATAGAATAATCCCGTTGCCGTACTACCGACTTCCAGGAGCCAGCTACACTTGTCAACAGATTTTATTTTCCGTTCTGAAAGTCTTGTCTAATGTTGCTCATTTATGCCTACTAGTATTGAAAACCCGAAGCATTCAGGTACTAATATTTTGATCTCAGAGTAGATTATCTGCAGCACTGTAGTGCTTGGGTGATAATTCTTTAAGACCTCTGAGAAAGGTATATCGGGAACTCACGTCCGAAAATACTTTCAGACCAGACCCTTAGAGACCAATTTCATGAAGTGGCCCATGTCAAGCAAAAATGACGTGCGAATTCGCTTTGTAGTGAAAGAAGAAGAATTTTTCAACGTTTAAAACAATCACTAAAATTTGTCAGCTGCTTTCTGCAATTCTCGGACGCCCTACACTGGTTTGGTAACTAATGACGAGAGGCTGGCTGGAAACTGATGTGTATACGGATAATAAACTTCAGACCAGCAGTCCTATCACCACAGGAAAAACATCCACACATGCATCTACACACTAACTCAGTACAGTCATACTTTGTCAAAACGGTCACCTATTTAGGCGACATTTAAAAACGCAAAAAAAAAAGAGGATTAAAATGATTTAGAGACAATGTTTGTACAAGAAAAACAAGTGTTATAAGCAGCATATACACAAAAACAACTATTTAGAAGAGGCTCCGACATTCCTCATTATGACCAGCAAATGTTTCACTATCGAGAAGAGAGCTGACGCAGACTCGAGGTATGTACCAGTGACGTGACTACAACGTCTAGCTGAGGCAGACCCCCGAGGCGAGTAAACATGACGCAACTTCATCGCTAAAACAACTAGGAACCGTTGCCGTCAGTGGGCGTTCAACAGGACGTTAAGGATGTCTTTGCTGCCGCTGTCAATCTTATATATTTGCATCTGTCAGGTGAAGCGAGCCGATATCGTCACGCGGCGACCTATCCATGCAATAAGTTACCACAGGTTCGGACATCTTGAGTAATTTATACACTTCAAAATCGAAGATTTGTCAAAAATAATATCACTCAACAGTACATATTCTATCTACATATTTGTTTATTGACATTTTTCCTTTTCTTTCTTCCGAATGAGGGAGAAGGCCATGTAGGAGAGGCAGCAGGCGGCGTAGAGGAGGCAGCAGAGGGCGAGGGCCACCAAGAGCAGGAAGGCAGCCACGTCGAGGGCGAAGTACTGGACGAGAGAGAGATGCTCGCCGGGCATTCTGAGGTGGGTGAGGCGGCCATGGCGGTGGACCTTCTCCACCCACCTGGCTCCTTTCTCCATCCCGGACTCGCTCTCCTCTTGCCAGAGCGCGGAGAACCTCCTCGCTGTCTGTCGGTACCTGCAGGATACACTCTTGGAGATGTACCAGTGTACCGCACCTTGTGTCGGCGTCTTAAGTGTATGGAAAGGTGTAAAGGAGTTTCCTGATATACTTCATAAGACGTCTGCATAATGAAGGAGTAATCAAATAAGGATTTGTGTTTTGCTCGAGTTATGTTTGTGCCCAATAAGAATTACCACCTCATAATACAGGGGGATTGTTTACTCAGTTTTCCAATGCATGTTTTACATGGCCTTGAGCCCTAGTTTTTCAGCAACAGATGTTAATTTGACAAATATGCCAGCTAAACTTAATTTGTTTCAACAATAGTGCTCAAAACATATTTAACATATATTATAAATATATGCTTGACAAAACATGTGTATAAATATCGACAACTGCGTCTCATCCTTCAAAGACTAGAGAACATGTAGTTACGAGTGAAAAATGAAAATATGAATTATACTAAAATTCATATTGTACTATTCGAACTCTTAGAAGGCACAATATAAGGTTAGAATAACCATAAACTACCATAACCAAGTCTAAATAATCAATCCTAGGCCAAATACATGCAATCTTAGCTATAATTTTATATAGTACTTCCATCCATGATAACTATAGGTAAAATTATTTGTGGACGAGAGGCTGCTGGCTCACCTGGAGTTGTTGAGGACGGCGGTGATGGTGGTGTAAGCGAGCTCCTCGGTGATGGCAGCCTTGTCTATGACGAGCCCCAGGCCGTGGTCCACCACCCTGCGAGCGTTGTCCCCCTGGTCAGCGAAGATCGGGAAGCCAACGATGGGCACGCCGTGGTACACCGCCTCGTTGATGCCGTTCTGGCCACAGTGTGTCACGAACAGCACAGTGTTGGGGTGTCCTGAACAGTCAATTCAACCTTGTTACCAAGTCATAAGAGTGTTATGTCTAAGAGTAAAAGTGAACGTGGTTTGAACGAGTATAAAGAGGAAGCCTATTGGTCTACTCTACTATACAAAAACTATCGAAGAATTATTTCTGCTTATCAATTACCGAGGACGTCATGCTGTGGGAGCCAGTCGACGACCATGATGTTGTCTGGTACATACGGCAGCAAGGCAGGGTTGAACCTGAGAAGGACCCTCTGCTGCAGGCGGGAGAATGCAGCGAGGAAGGCATCCATGACACGTGTAGGGACGGAGGTGGCCTCGTACCCTGTGAAGCCCAGAGAGAACACCACCACTCCTGTGCTGGCCTCGCTCATCTGCGTCAAAACACACACACACACACATGATTGACCATGAATTAATGATTTAACATAGTATGTGAGAGCAGTTAAACTCAATGAGCAGTGACGTACCCATCGATCGATGTATGGAGGTAGTGGAGCTGGGGGCCCGCACTGGATACAGCCAATGTACTGGACGTGTGGCGGCATCAGCTTGGGGTAGTCTATGATCCAGTGGGAGTGTACGAGTATCACCTCAATCTCCCGGAGCAGGTCCTGGCTCCTGGGACTTCGCGGCGCCAAACGCTGCCAGTGTTAAAATCGTCAGTAACAGTCAACCATGAGATGGCTGTCGTTTCATTGCGATATGAATGGTGAGCTCTAATTATATATTGTAGTATTATTATAATAAAATTTAAGGCTTGGGTCCAACACCGGAACCGTTTAGGATATTTGGTGCAAAATACTCGCATTTTAAGTAGTAAATTATTAATTCACAGAGATCTATAATATTTGTTATCTAGAGCGTGGCGAATATAATTTGCAATGTTTGGTCCTATCCTCCTCGTCCGTCTTTATCCAATCGTATTAACACACTGTACCCAAACTATGATCACTAACCCCATTTTTCCCATATAGCGTCCTTATTGACGGCCCCCTACACAAGGTACAGGCCCCCTCTGGTATCATAACCTGTACACTGCCTCAACTTGTGGCTCCCTACATTTTGGAAAAAAATGGGGGGGGAGGGGACTCCATGGTCCCCAGTTTGGGAACCAGTGCTCTAGCAAGTAGTTTAGTACTATGATAATCGATGCTGGTCTCTACAGAGACAAGTAATTACGGCACTAGGTACTTGCTACTTTTTATATAAATTGAGATTGGAAATAGTGGAGGGTTGTGGCACTTCACGAGAAGCTGCCGAAGCGAACATATTTTGCAAGTTGGCGGGAGATTGTCACATCACTTACTAGTTACTGCACCATAGTGTTCTTAAATATGGTTGGGAATTTGGGTATAGTTCAAATTTTATAATCTGCGATATTTTTCTTCTGTTCTGAAAACCAATTTTGTGATCGGTACGAGTCCTCACGTTGTGAGTTACTGTGATCTAAAGCATCGTAGGTCTTTGTTGAGTAAGATGATAGCTCAAGTTCCATGTATCTACCAATGTATCACCCCCCCACCCCCACCCCTTCCTCTTGGGGAGGGGGGCTGGGTGGCACCGAGTGTTTCCACCTCTTCCCGGGTTAGGGGTGCAACTTCATGGAACCCATTTATAGAACTATAAATGGGTTTACACAGAAATCACAATACACTATCAGACACAGCACCGCTCCTGTGCCAGGTAAGTCTACTACGGGCTCACCATAGCCCATGCCACTTGGAACTTGTTATAAATTCAGCTACTCGGAACAACAACAAATCACAATAGCGTGATATATCAAATGAATAAATCCCCAAGGGCCATGATGAGGGTTCGAACTTAGTCCAAGATGATCCCAGGCACGCCTTAATGAACTGAGCCACGACAAGGACAAAAGAATTGCAACCGGGATTGCTACTGTTCTCACGCGGATCCCACAGTCTCTGAGAAACATAACAGGGTTTTACACAGTTCCCCCCATACATTCGGGCTCTGTCAAGCTGTTCTACCACTTCGCCTTACTTCAATACACACAGAAAAATTGAAGTTTAGAGAGTTTATAGGCTGAACGAAGAGGCTGAAGCCTCTGCGCTCTAACGCGTGTTACCGTTTTTTTTCTAAACAGTAGAAGCTGACGTTATTTATTAATTCTTTAAGCATACCCGTTTCCTAATGAGTAACTAATTGGTTCGCTATGGATAAAAATTAATAGAGGGGTATGTGGAAAAACCACATTTGAAAAATAGAGAATGCTTAACGCGTTTTCGACTAATTCGCCTTCATCAGAGCAAAGTAGAATGAAGATGAAAACATGATGATTGATAAAGATTAAGCCACCCAAGAGGTGGCACGGGCATGAATAGCCCGTAAGTGGTACAATTTTTGGTTCTGTAATTCTTTTCAGTATTCTGAGGTTGCATTTAATCGTCAAGCTGTTATCGCGGGGAAGGATACTGCTTCACAGTCTTTATGAGGGTGTCCAGCTGCTGGACACCTTTGTTGACCAGGAGAGTGGCTGTGTTGAATGCTTCAGGGTGGCCACTGCAAGATTCGGCGACTCTTAAAGCTCTAAGGTCGTTGGTTACTTCACATTCCAGAAGATAGTGAAGTAATGGCTTTTCTGTGACAGTTTGGCAGAAGATGCACTCTCTCTGTCGGGGTTCACCAATCTTCCAGTTGCATCTGTAACCTAGACGTAGTCTATATAGCCTAACTGCTATTTCCCTGTGGATTCCTTTTGGGATATTTAACCTTTCTAATTTGGTTGCCTGAAGATACCATGTTGCAGATGGCGAATTGGAAACATGATTGATTGATGAAGATTAAGCCACCCAAAAGGTGGCACGGGCATGAATAGCCCGTAAGTGGTGGCCCTTTTGAGCCATTATCAGTATCAATAGATGATACTGGAGATCTGTGGAGGTGCGACTGCACCCTGCATGACGGGAGATGTCTCCCGTGTTGGAAACATTGTTGTTGTTGTTGTTGTTTAAGATTCGCTACCCGGAACAAAAAGCTCCAAGCAGCACGGGCTATGGTGAGCCCGTGGAAACATCGAGAGAGAGAGAGAGAGAGAGAGAAGATTAAGCCACCCAAAAGGTGGCTTGGTCATGAATAGCCCATAAGTGGTGGTGAAAACATCGTTGATCAGACCTTTTATACTCGCCAAGGCAGATCACCTGACCAACAAGGTGTAAGGAAAGGAAATATAAGAAAGAAGGAAACTGCAGAAGGACTATTGGCCCATACAGCTCCTAATAATATGCAGAACTAGAAGATATATAAAAGTGCCACACAGGTTAAATGGATGCAATATAGTACTGACGTTCTATATTGAGGCTTATATGGGGATCCAACTTGTACATGCCAGGGCTCACATTAAGGCTGTTACAATGTTTGATCAGAGCAGACTATCACATTTCGTTCAACGAAGACCTTACTTTTAACAATACATTTTGCCCCTGTGAAGTCAATAGAATGATCGCATAAACTGGAATGTAAATACAATGCACTGAGTGCTGGGCTGTACGAATAGCATATGAATGCTGTTTTAAACGCGAGGAAAGATTTACCCGTCTGGCCGATGTAAACACATGCACTCACTACAAGGGATGGAGTACACACAACCTGCTACAGACGAGGGCGAGTTCTCAATTAAAATGGACTTTGACTGTATTATCATTTTTGAACACTAGATTAATAAGGTTTTTCAGGGGTGGGGCAAGATGTACTAGACCATCAAAATATGGTAATACCAACGTGTTTTTCAGTTCTGGTTTAGACTTGGGAGCCTGTTTGTAGAACGTCCTTTCTGCTTGACTAAATGCAAGATCTAATACCAATTTTGAGCATTTTAACTTTTGCCTTATTTCAAATATATTCGCTACCTCATCAAAATTTCCGTACTGCAAACCCTAGGGACTGAGAAACATACCAGAAAAAACTGCTCGCTTGACCTGAACATGATGATTTGAGTAAAATGAACATACGAGTACACATTTGTAGGTTTCCTATACACACTGAATTTAAACTCCTTCCAATTCTATGAATCATGATGTCTAAAAAAAGGCAGAACACCATTTATTTCATTCTCAATTGTGAACTTAACTGATGGAACCAGTGAATTAAGTTGGAGGAGAAAATCAGTTTGGTCATGGTTAACCGGCCACAGGCATAAAATGTCATCAACGTACCTATACCAAAACAAATTCGAGGGCAAAATCCTGGGTAGGATATTTGTTTCAAAACATTCCATGTATAAATTGCTCAAAACAGGGGAGGGGATTAACCATCGCCATGCCAAATGTTTGCTTATAAAATGAATCATTAAAGCTGAAATAATTATCTTTAATGCACAATCTTATCAGTTCAACAATGGTGTTAGTAGGTAAAGTTAAATTATACTTAGGGAGTAGATCCCGTAAGAATGGCAACAGGTCATCAACAAGAACCCTAGTGAACATTGCCGTCACATCAAAACCAAGTTTAAAATCATAATTTAATTTCAAACTAGACAACTTGTTAACCAAGTCAAAGTTGTTTGTTATACGAGTTGGAAATGGAACCTACAACCGGGGACAAGACTTGGACAAGCCATTTGGAAAGTCTGTATGCCACAGATCCTACAGAACTAATAATAGGTCTTGCAGGAATTATTGGGTTGTGTGTGTTTTAATAAGACCTTATTAAAACAAACTTATTATTGGTCTTATTAAAACAAACCCAATAATCCTGCAAGACCTATTATTAGTTCTGTAGGATCTGTGGCATATAGACTTTCCAAATGGCTTGTGCAAGTCTTGTCCCCGGTTGTAGGTTCCATTGGTGGTGGGGAACGGGAGGGGGGTGGGGGGGGTGAACGGGATGGTGGGGAACCGGAGGGGGGGGGGAGGGGTGAACGGGATGGTGGGGAACCGGAGGGGGGGGGGGAGGGGTGAACGGGATGGTGGGGAACCGGAGGGGGGGGTGAACGGGACGGTGGGGAACGGGAGGTGGGGGGGGGGCTAACAACGGTAGGGACGGTGGCGTCTGTACTACAAACCACTTTGTACAATTATGGCGTCGTCCATTTCCTCAAGATTGTCTGAAAATTGTGGCATCTATTTATAGAAGCTGAAGATCTGATTCCAGAGCTTCGGAAAGTCTGCTTGTTTACAGTTTCTTCGGCTGAGATGGGATCCGAGTGGCGTTTCCGAGATGGCAGGGATGGCTGCGGGCCACAGTAATTGTGAGGAGAGAGGAATCTGATTCTAACTCAGGTCTAAGTGTTCACCCTTCCCTGACTAACAGATGAAGATAACGGTATTCCCGGAGTAGTGTTACAGAAGAGCAGTTTCTGTAACACCACGACGATCTTGCCCAGTCATCTAATTATGTATATTGGGCGAGTAACTGTATGATTGATCCGTGAACGTGTCTACCGAACCAAAGTTTTGAGAAAAACACACAGGCACGAAGAGTTGATAAATTTGTTTTATGACGAAAGTTGATAGGCGTCCAATTCATAATTTCTTTATGCATGGTCTACGTAGACTCCGGTCGTGTACTGACAGGCCCCTACCTACCTACCTATCAGGTGTCAGCTAATGACAGCGCAGTTAGACTTTCTATTGTCTGCTGCTGTTCAAGAAATTCGAAGTTTTTACGCTAGGCTTAACTCCTGCCCTTCGTATACTTGTTTGCGACACCACCGAGCGTCAAGGGAGGAATGCACATGAGTGCGTTCCTGAGTTACGGTCGAAGAATACGTCATATACATGCATTCGAGGAAGAATTTTAATAAAATAAATTATGGGAAGCGTCTTCACATTTCCCTGAGAATCAATGGTGAAATTGTACCGACACGCAGAGAAGCGAGGGAGCGAGACATTCCTGCACGCTGAGGGAGGCCCATCGCCAGCGTACGCCGAATAATAAGTGTCCGTATGGGGGAGTGCGCGCTATCCTGATGCTCTCGCGGCGACTGGTGGCTCTGATGATACAGTCCAGTCAGGAACTTTATGATGGGTGACTGGTTCCCGAGGCCCTCCACAGGCTCCGGGCCTCTCACGCCGATCTTTAGGGCTATTTTCCGTGGGAAATTCATTCGCATTAGATCATAATTTTTTATGAAGGGAGATGGGGGATTGGGAAGAGGAGAGAGATGAAGAGCAAGATGACGGAAGGACGGGCGTAATTACCTTAATGTGAGCATCGATGACACTGAAGTGGTAGGTGATGACGGCGGTCTCTGCCAACATCACCAAAGTGTTCCAGACTCTCTCCAGGAACGTCATGGACGCCCCAACCTCGCTCAGGAAGTTGGGAACCAGCGCTGGCGACTGGAACACCCCGGCAGCCCTGGACTGAAGCCGCAACACATTTAATTACAGCAGCCACCCTGAAGGTACGGCCCATTTATAATTGTGCTATGATGACAAAGCGAGCAATAAGAGCTACAGGCAATTGTTAAAAATGTGTATGTGTACTCGCCTATTTGTGCTTGCGGGGGTTGAGCTTTGGCTCTTTGGTCCCGCCTCTCAACTGTCAATCAACTGGTGTACAGATTCCTGAGCCTACTGGGCTCTATCATATCTACATTTGAAACTGTATGGAGTCAGCCTCCACCACATCACTTCCTAGTGCATTCCATTTATTAACTACTCCGACACTGAAAAAATCTTTCTAATGTGTCTGTGGCTCATTTGGGTACTCTGTTTCCACCTGTGTCCCCTTGTTCGCGTCCCACCAGTGTTGAAGAGTGTCTTTGTCCACCCTGTCAATTCTCCTGAGGATTTTGTAGGTGGTTATCATGTCTCCCTTTTCTCTTCTGTTTTCCAGAGATATGAGGTTCAGCTCCTTCAGCTTTTCCTCGCAGCTCATACCTCTCAGTTCCGGGACCAGTCTGGTGGCATACCTCTAAGACAAGCGTTAGAGACTTCTTTAACTTTGTCTTATTTTTAACTAGATAAGGACTCCAGGCAGGAGCTGCATATTCCAGGATTGGCCCGACATATTACACAGTGGTATACAAGGTCCTGAACGATTCCTTACATAAGTTTCTAAAGGCAGTTCTTATGTTGGCCAGTCTAGCATATGCCGCTGATGATATCCTTTTGATGTGGGCCTCTGGGGACAGGTTCGGTGTGATATCGACCCGCAGATCTTTCTATTTGACTCTTGCAGGATTTTGCCTCCCAGATGGTACCTTGTGTTCAGCCTTCTGCTCCCTTCGCCTAACTTCATTACTTTACACTTTGCTGAGTTAAACTTTAGCAGCCATTTTCAAGACCAGTTTGGCCAGGTCATCTTGTAGTCTCTGTCTTCATCTGGCTTTATTCTTCTCATAATTTTAGCATCATCAGCAAACATTGAGAGGAATGAGTCTATGCCCTCTGGAAGATCATTTACATATATATATTAGAAACAGAATGGGTCCAAGTACAGAGCCTTGTGGGACTCCGCTGGTGAGTGTAGAGAGTGTAGAGTGTAGAGAGGACCGACTTATCTACTCTTACTCAGAGGAAACCAGGACAGCAAACCTAAAGGCTAATTTTTCTTCACGTTCTAAAACTTTACCAAGAAAGTCATTTCTACCACTTTCCCAAAGTTCTTTACAGTTATTTATTGTGATGTCATGTACTCTATCCTTAAATAGTTACACTTTGAAATTATCTAATTCCTTCAATATTTTAGTGTTTCAATTAGGTCTCCATGTAATCTCCACTTTCACAGAAAACAAATTTCCATGTCTTTCTTCTTAAGGTATTTTTCCTGGTATAGGTGTTTGTAAAGTCGTTCTAATCTGTAGTCCTTCATAGTTTGTGTAATTAAGAAACCAAAATTTTAGAGCGTAATCAAGTACAGGTTAAAACCTGGCATTATAGCTGGCATGGCTCATGGTCTTATTATGAACAATCATGAAAGATTCGGATATAATGATTACGAGACTAATAAGATGATTGAACCTGAGCTTACATGGCAATTACACATGACCAACCAATCGCTGAAAGTGTTCCTTAATCACAGATCGTTTCACAGCAGACCAGGGACTGCCAGCTTGAAAGTAGGGCTGCTGTTTTATGAACCAATTACAAGGTAGCATAGTAGTAGGCATCCATCAGTCATAGGAGAGTATGGAGTTGCGCTCTGATTGTCGGTCTGGAGTGGCCTCTCCAGGGCGCAAAGCCAGGGTAGGTTGATATGGAGGAGAAGCTGTCACCCAAGCAGCAGGTCCCCCCCCCCCTTCCCATCTCCATGGTGCCGAAAGTCTCCAATGGAAAGGCAAACGTCAATACGATTGGTTCCAGCGCCGTCGCAGGAACTGTCAGAACGAGGTTGAAGGCAACAACGAACTGCCCCCAGGGGGCTCCAGTTCCGGAGTTAACCTCGAAGTTGGTAAAAGAAGACACAGTGACACCAAACCCGGAGACCGGGACCGGAGACCGGGACCGGAGACCGGAGACCGGAGACCGGAGACCGGAGACCGGGACCGGAGACCGGGACCGGAGACCGGGACCGGAGACCGGGACCGGAGACCGGGACACCGGGTTTGGTGTCGTGGACGTGGATTTGATGAATTGTATCACGCTAAGGCTAGACACATACGAGACTGGGTGAGAATTATTAGAGCTGCATCACAATACTTGATCCGTCCAGGACGGATCAAGAGCAATTCTCTGATTTTCACATTTGCTAGTCGGGCGTCAGTCTCATTAGGAGCAATCTCGCATGGGTCAATAGACATTTTGTAGTTTCGTTTAATGTTTTTAACAAATTCTGGAAGTTAATTTGCATCACCACTAAATGTGACTAGCAAACCAGCCGGTATTTATGTTGTTATAAAAGCTTATTTATAACTATTTGGTAACGTCACCGAATGAAGCGTTAATTGGGAACTATTTAGTGGTGAAATCATGATTACATCAGAACCTAACCAATTACAGTCATCTTTTAGCCAATCACAGTAGCAGAAAAAGAAATATACCAGCACCAACATCAAATGCAATCTTAGGCACATGTCATTGTTTGTGTACGTCTCCCCTCAGCTCTCAGTGTCACAGCCTAACCCCTCATGGGCCTAATGTAGCTCCAATAGATGCCGAGGACCCCAAGAATGTTTAAAAAAAAAGTTAATTAGCTTTGCTGTAAGGTAAACAAAACAAAAATTGATCTATTAAACGCTTGGGGATTTAATTCTTGAAGAAGTCATGGAAGTGAACGGCAGTAAACTGTATGGACCGTCTTACCTCGCCTCCCTGGAAGGAGAATCCCCAGAATCCGACCACTGGCAGCCGGAGGGCGTGAGCTAGAGCCAAGGAGCACTCGTTACCGATGATGTCTACCACCGCCAGGGTGAAGTTGGCCGCTCGGAGCCTCCTGGCCAGGTCCCGGTCACCCAGCAGCGTGAGACAATGAGCGTCGATCAGCCCAAACACGTCCGTAGGGATCTGTTGGCGACGGAGGTGGTGGTGGTGGTGATCAAGTGCCAATGATACCTAGATGAACAGTGAGAAGAAACTTGCCCAACTGTCTTTTGTCCTGCCGCGGAAATCTAACCTGGGACCCCTAGGTTGCGAGTTGAAGGCTATTATTTTGTCAAGCAAAATTTTCCTTTGCTAAAACCGTGTTGGTATTTTGAGACAAAATTATGCTCTTCTAGGTATTCTACTTCAGAACTGTCTGTGTCTAGTAACTTGCAGGGAATGGTTTCAGTGGTAGGGATCTGTAGTTCGGTATCTATATCAGTCTCTCCCTACCCTGCCTATCTGTGTTTTTCCTTTTTTCAATTAAAGTCAACTTTTCCTAAATGAATCCCAATATGCAGCTTAACTCCTAATACATCAAATGTACAATCTGCTGCGAGAGAGCAGCTAGTAACAACACTACTCGCACACCGCACATCACTGATGGAAGGCAGAAAATTAAAACTAATAAGCAACAGTCTAAAAAGTTGAAGATATTTACATATTTGTAAGTATGCCACACAAACTGCTGCACCGATGATGTGCAGGCCGAGCACCCAGTTTACCTGGAGCAGGCCGAGCACCCAGTTTACCTGGAGCAGGCCGAGCACCCAGTTTACCTGGAGCAGGCCGAGCACCCAGTTTACCTGGTGCAGGCCGAGCACCCAGTTTACCTGGAGCAGGCCGAGCACCCAGTTTACCTGGTGCAGGCCGAGCAGGCACGTGACCTCCCCTCCACCACTCACTGGATAGCTTTGCACGCACCCAAATCTAAATGTTAATTCACCACAAATGTAAATTTGTGAAGAACTTGTGCTTTCCTTAAAAGATCATTGTGGTCCAGAACCCGAACCCATAATGTGGCTGCCGCTTTTCCCCACAGCATGGGGGGGGGGGGTGATTGTAGATTCTTGTTTTAGATTCAGCTACTTAGAACAAAAAGTTGCAAGTAGCACGGGATATGGTGATCCCGTCGTGGACTTACCTGGCACAGGAGCGGGGCTATAACTCTCACAGCATGGGTACGAGGCGTATGACACACTCCCCCCCTCACATCTCTGCCACCACTGACCTGCCATACGTGTCGTGGTCTCTCCCACAGCATGGTGGTGGGAGGGTGGAAGGTCCCATCAGGCTGCATGTATGGGTACCTGTCAACAGTCAAGATTAATTTTATTGAAATACTTACAGCAGTAGTTGTAATAACTAATAATAATAATAATAAATAATAATAATAATAAATTAATAATAAATTAATGATAATATTAATAAATAATAATAATTACTGCATACAGAAATCACATTAACTACGTATCTGAGAACATTAGTAAGAACCACGCTCTGGGACGAGTTCGAATCGTCCTCATGGCTCTGGCTCCTACTAATTCTCAATAATAATGATTATAATGACAAGGTTAAGGCAGTTCGTAGCTTAAATAGCTACGGTACAGTAGGGGGTTCTCCCAGTCACCAGGACGCATCACGTGACGAGGGCTACAGAGGGCAGGCGGGTGTTGGAGAGGAAGCCGCTGCCTCGCCCGGAGAGGGAGGACGAGGCAGTAGGTCACCACACGGCTAAGTGAGCTATGATGTTACCTGGGAATGTGACCGCGCAGGGCAGGATAGGCGTTCTCCGTTTTTGGAGGCGTTTAGAAACCATTTCTAAACTAGTTGAGAACGCGGTGCATGAGTGAACCCGTCGGTGTGCGTATACAGCGTGTGTTAGGGAGAGAGAGAGAGCTTTACAGCGTGTAGTTGTTCACTACATTAATTAAACAGCATTCCCATGTTTTTAGATTCGGCTACTCTGAACAAAAAAGTTCCAAGCACCACGGGCTATGGTGAGCCCGTCGTATTAACCTGGCACAAGTGATGTGCTCTACCACCTCACCCATTCAGCCACTGGTTTAATATTACATTATTCGTTAGAAAAATCTAGCAAATGGTTAGATTTGTTAGAAAAATCTAACAAGACTTGCTAGATTCTTCTCACGATTGCTTTCCGACGTCACTTTTCGTTGAAATCACTTGCCTTGACATGCCTGTTGGGTCAAGCATCAGCTCCTGGCCCCCGCGTCCCTGGAGTCAATAGACTAGGATAGCGAGCGTACGAAGTAGGATAGCGAGGGTACGAAGTAGGGTCGCCCTCATGTTATAACCCGACCACAATACGAACGTCACATGCCACTAAGTACTCAACACAAACGGTAACTGCCTGCAGTACAGTAGATACATAATTTATGACAGTAGATATTCGCCACCCGAGTGAGTAGACAATGTCTACTTTGTGACTCGCCTTCAAAATGTTACATTGGTGCGTGTTACGGCGTTGTATCACCAGACTCTTACTGTATTATCATTGTTACTTCCATACGTAACTTGCAGCAGTTATTCTAAAGGCGTGTTCCTGGTCGCATGGTTCCAAAACTTTCTCTGGTCCTAACTACAGTATAAAAACTTGCTTGTGCTACTCCCAATGTTTAATCGGCAAGAAATACAGCAACAACAAACTTTTGACCGCTTGATAACACTCAGCACAAGTACTTCATAACATGATCATAGGACGTCCACAAAACAACAAATCAACGCAGCTACATGAAAAATAGATCCATTCTCAAAACCTCAAAACAATAACAAAAATCAGAAACGAGCCTCTTACATATGTAACTAAATATATAAACTGAGGCGTGTTTTTTTTTTTTTTTTTTTTTTTTTTTTTTTTTTTTTGCGAGGGGGGGGGGGGGGGAGCGGTAATCTAATTTATGTTCCATCTAATTTTAGAAACGAACTCGTCAACAGAAAGAAGTCTCACTATTTTCTGATGTCTGATATTTGTTAAAAAAATCTGTTCATAACAATGTGTGTGTGTGTGTGTGTGTGTGCACCTGTCGGCCCCTCTCGTGTCACCTGGGTGAATGAGTCAAGATTTACCTTGCCAAGTGGTGGCATGGGCATGAATAGCCCGTAGTGTGATGTCAGCGCTGCTTCCTTTGGGAACCACTTCAGAAAGTTAATTTTTTGAATTATATGTTAGTCATTATTAACCCTTTTTTAGAGGGGGTAGAAGAGGCCCGACATGGGGGTGGGGGGGGCCAATGCGAGTGAAAGGGAAGCTAAAGAGGGGTGGGGTGGGGGAGAGGGAGCGAGAGTGAAAGAGAACGTGTATGGCTTAATGAAACTGATTTAACATACTAGAGGCGCCACACTACCCCTACTAGAGCCAAGTCAACATCCGCCCACTGGAACCCCCCAACAGTTCCCTGCATCACATTGATCAACTCTTCACACAATCTTATTATATGTAAATAAGGAGATGTGAAACAAAGCATTTCCTGTCATCTTCCGACGATTCCCTTAATTCCCTAACCAGTCTCCGTGGTGTAGTGGTAAAACACTCGCCTGGCGTTCCGCGAGCGCTATGTCATGGGTTCGTATCCTGGCCGGGGAGGATTTACTTGGCGCAAATCCTTAACTGTAGCCTCTGTTTAACTCAACAGTAAAATGTGTACTTGGATGAAAAAACGATTCTTCGCGGCAGGGGATCGTATTCCAGGGACCATAGGATTAAGGACTTGCCCGAAACGCTACGCGTACTAGTGGCTGTACAAGAATGTAACAACTCTTGTATATATCAAAAAAAAAAAAAAAAAAAAAAAAAAAAAAAAAAAAAAAAAAAAAAATTGTTCCCCTAAGAAATTTGTACGAATGAACATGCACGATGTCAAAGTATTTTTGTAAGTATTACCCTCACAAGTACCGTTAGTACTTGTGGCACTATGCATCTCCAGTCCTGCAACTACTAATCAAATCCCACTAAACCAACTTTTGTGGCACTATGCATCTCCAGTCCTGCAACTACTAATCAAATCCCACTAAACCAACTTCGCCCTTTGTTTCTCAACAATTTCCGGTACTTTAACAACTAGAGTGTCATTATCATCTCACTACCTAATAACACCACAAATATCAAACCCGGACAGTCGTCACTACCCACAGTGGCCACGTCCACCAGCACAAGAGCGGACTTGCTTAGTTGGGCGCCTTTATTATGCACCCCGACACCCGTCCTGTGGGTGGCAGTGGAGAGCGGGCGGTCAACACCTCCCCACACCACCTGAGGGAGAAAGGGGGACTGGTTGCACGTGAGGGAGAAAGGGAGAGCCAAAACCCAGTGCATAAACAGGACTCTCAGATCATTTACACCACAGGACGAATGATAACACGAACGAGCAATTATGTATTAGCGATAAGACCTACCATTAATGTATAATGACACTGTTAATATATAGCTCTCGAAATAGAACAATCTCTAACTAGCTGACATTGTAATAAGGTGTGAAGGACAGATGGAATTGTTTATGTAATAATCTAAGATGAGGTCTGATAAAGACCTTTTGTGCCCTCTGTAACGCTTTTTGCGCTACCGCTCACAGGATGAGTATGGGGTGCACAATAAACTAGCCACCTCCGGCGGCAACAATCAATCAACGAACATTGACGTCATCGATGACGTTTTACGAGCCGCTGACGGACAGTGGAACTGTTGGTCGTATTTGACCCCAAGAAGTTTAACCGGTTTTAGACTCTGGAAGTTACCGTGGACCGAGTAACTATAGTATAGAAACTATAGGATGCCGAATCTCGCAATCCTGAGCACTAAGTATAAACTGTGAACAAGAACGGTCATGATCTCTCTCACCTTATTATAGAATGTTCAGTCATTAGACCCTCCAGACATGCCCGCACGATGCACTTGGAGCTTTACAATGACTTATTTCATGTTCATGATGATATCCGGGACACACCAGATGGTACCGCTCCTGTGCCAAGTAAGTTACGGGCTCACCATAGCCTGTGCTACTTGGAACTTGTTTCGAGTAGCTGAATCTATAACAAAACAACGATGATATCCTCATAATGCATCCAAAGTCTGCCCCGTGCAGATTACAGATCACGTGGGCACCTGTGACGAGCCACCCTGCCACATGTGGAGATTTTTGTATCACAGCCAAACTCTTGACGCTACAGTATAAAAGCAGTGATGAGTCACAATAACGTGGCTAAAGTATGATGACCAGACCACACACTAGAAGGTGAAGGGACGACGACATTTCGGTCCGTCCTGGACCATTCTCAAGTCATAATCGACTTGAGAATGGTCCAGGACGGACCGAAACGTCATCGTCCCTTCACCTTCTAGTGTGCGGTCTGGTCAACATACTTTAGCCACGTTATTGTGACTCATCGCTTGCACAGGCCTCTTGAGTTGTTCCCTGGCCTCTCACGCCTCGCTCACCACATCACGATGAGCTACTAGAACACATTTGCTATAAGTAATCTTCTAGTCCTTAGAGAGGGGGATGAGAATGCTCATTATTCAGGTAATACAAGGCTGCCGACACCCACAAGGTGGGAAGTTCTTAGACGATGACCAGTTTATGAAGCGCGTGTTCTGCCGCTGGAGAGGGGTCGGTGGGGGATGGGGGGGGGGGGCGTTCTGTGCATCAGATTTAGGCAGGATTTTACACCCCCCCCTCCCCTTGCACCCGAGCTATGTCAATAGGCCTGTGTGTGATGATGTAAGGGCGAAGACGGAGAACGGCCTATTGACATAGCTCGGGTGCAGGGGTGGGGGGGGGGGGGTTGTGTAAAAGCCTGGTTTGTGCCTCGGAGAGGCTACGGGATTTAGGCAGGATTTTTAAGGTGGGTGGGTGTTGGAGGGGGGGGGGAGGGGCGAAGTGGGTAAGAACATTGTCTGAAAATTATATATGTTTACAGCACGCACCAACACGCCGTCATGCGCTCCAAAACCCCGCATTTAACAGCTGTGATAATTGCTCTCTCTACCTGTCTTTATATCATTAAAGCACAGATGAATTTCTATATAGTAAGCGACGGAGTACACGTCACTTCTCCCCAAGTCTGGCGAAGACTGGTGCCTTCGGTGACGAGTCTGTTCTCCAACCACTTGGGAAGGACGGTAGAGCGACGGTCTCGCTTAGTGCAGGACGGTGTTCAATTCCCGAACGTCCAAGTAGTTGGGCAACATACTAAAATACCCCAGTCCCACCCAAATTCCTTGTCCTGATCCCTTCCAAGTGTTGTACAGTCGTAATGGCTTGGCGCTTTCCCCTGATAATTGCCTTGCCTCTTGATTGATTGATAAAGATTAAGCCACCCAAGAGGTGGCACGGGAATGAATAGCCCGTAACCTTACTTCTTATCTGCGATATTATATACCCGATTCACAACACCGCTTACATCCCTCCCAGCAACAACTACGACAGCGCCCTTAAACAAGAGTATATCAGCGGCAGCCAAGCATACGAGTTAAAGAATCCAAGGGAAATATTAGTGGCCTGGACGGGTTGTCAACAGGAAAAATGCACCGAAAGAAGTGGAAGTCACCTCCAACCATGGCATCAAATACGACAAAAAACTGATTAATTGATGAAAATTAAGCCTTCCAAGAGGTGGCACGGATATAGAACCTTGAGGTGCTTCCGGGGTTTAGCGTCCCCGCGGCCCGGTCGTCGACCAGGCCTCCCGGTTGCTGGACTGATCAACCAGGCTGTTGAACACGGCTGCTCGCAGTCTGACGTATGCATCACAGCCTGGTTGATCAGGTAGAAGAGAGTCAAAGAACTTTTGGCTTCTCTTGTAACGTTTAAAAACAACATTAAGACTTGTATAAGCAGGTGTAATTACATTACCGGAAGGAAAGAACTCACCTGAGGTCACGGTTATCAGGGCTCAAGGTGATGACCTCCACGGTGGAGTTAACCTCCCGTGTCTTGCTCGACCTCCACCTGACCTGCGTGACCTGGTGACCCCGCTTGACCAGCTCCTCCCCGAACCTCCGTAGCGTCAGCTCGTGGCTTCCGGCGTATATAGGATGCAGCACGAGGATCTTGGCCCCCTGGTCTTGGAGATAGTGGTGCCGGAGTGCAGTGTGCGAACCTCCTCCGGGCGGCTGTGTGACGTGTACGAGGCCCGCTACACCCGCTCCACACAGCACTGCCGCCATCACCAACACCACAGTGCTTCCCTGGGACAAAGGCATTGCACAGAGGACGCTACAACTATGTCACTGGACCTCACACTTCAATTTCCAGCAGACTGGCTTCCTCCACTCGTCTGTCCTCGCTTCTTTATTTAATTTGGCTTCCTTGTACACTTTCAGAAGTTCACTGCAGGCGTTTCGTTCGCTGACCAACATAGGCGAAGTCGTCTGTCACAAGCGTCTTCTCAAGAACGGCTCATTCCTGTAAATGGATCATTGGAATTATGTACGGATGTAGATCTCAATTCCTTTTAAGCACAGTGATATGGCTGCAGGTTTCTTCAGTGAGGTTAATGGAAGAAACGAGCAGGCCAGATTGTTTAGGGGATTGTGGGTGGGGGGGGGGGGGGGAAGGGCAGCGCCGTGGCACCACAAATGGGGGGGGGGGGGTGCGCCGTGGCACCACAAATGGGGGGGAGGCAGCGCCGTGGCACCCCAAGTGGGGGTGGGGCAGCGCCGTGGCACCACAAATGGGGGAGTGGGGCAGCGCCGTGGCACCACAAATGGGGGGGTGGGGCAGCGCCGTGGCACCACAAACGGGGGGGTGGGGCAGCGCCGTGGCACCACAAATGGGGGGGTGGGGCAGCGCCGTGGCACCACAAATGGGGGGGTGGGGCAGCGCCGTGGCACCACAAATGGGGGGGTGGGGCAGCGCCGTGGCACCACAAATGGGGGGGTGGGGCAGCGCCGTGGCACCACAAATGGGGGGGTGGGGCAGCGCCGTGGCACCACAAATGGGGGGGTGGGGCAGCGCGTGGCACCACAAATGGGGGGGGGGGCAGCGCCTAGGCACCACAAATGGGGGGGTGGGGCAGCGCCGTGGCACCACAAATGGGGGGGTGGGGCAGCGCCTAGGCACCACAAATGGGGGGGTGGGGCAGCGCCGTGGCACCCCAAGTGGGGGTGGGGCAGCGCCGTGGCACCCCAAGTGGGGGTGGGGCAGCGCCATGTCTCTTTTTACCTAGTTTCAATATTTTAAGCTCTCACTGCATTCCCTCAAGTGTCATCAGAATGTGATACAATATGGCTTCTTAATTGTCTTGAGTGTAGACTCTAGGGAGGCAATCATGTGTCTAGATTTTAGTCCCGACAAAAGCTTAACACGTACCTGATCAACCAGGCTGTGATTCGTCCGTCAAGCTGCGAGCAGCCGCGTCAAACAGCCTGGTTGACCAGTCCAGCAACGAGGAGGTCTGGTCGACGACCGGACCGCGGGGACGCTAAGCCCGGAAAAACTCCCAAGGTAACTCCAAGGTAAGGTACTATCCCTGCGTCATCTGAATATTGAAATCCTGTTGAAAGTAAACAACGTAATGTGTTGCTTACTATAAAGTTATTGTTTACCCTCATCGCACGAATGTTGTAACTTACCGACTTACACGAAAAATAAATCGCCTTTCCAGCCAGTTAATACACAACCCGCAACGGGGAAATTACTAATTAAAGTTTTTATGGTGCCTAATCTCCCAGTGAAACATCCCAATTTATGTTGGGTTTGTTTAAGTCTCCTACAATTACATTATAGGTGTGGTTAATATATTATTTCATGCAAAATGCTATATTTTCTATCATTTTTTTAATGATGGCCAGTGTATAACCAACTAGTATTGTATTAAATAGCAATGATTTATTTTTTGTTGCTGATGGAGGTATGACGATCTTCCGTACATGAACGACCCGTAGCTTGTCGTTCCAAGCATGGATAGCCAAGGAAGAAAGTGTTCTGCTCACTCATCACCGCTACAGCCAAGGGTGTATGTATTTTGGCGTGTAAAGGAACATTATACTTTCATTGTATTTCAGTTTTTTTTTATTTATAATGATTTGTATTTATGACAATACAAATTGTTATAAATAAAACATATCCGACGTGTGACTGGAGTGAGAAACAACCCATGACGAGTCCGGGGGAAGAGGAGCCCACGATGTTGTAACAAGAGACAAAGCTGCAATTTTTCATGGACTATGTCCCCCAACCTCGGCAAACTGCGCACCAAGTGAAGAGTGGAACAGTATATACGCATCGACTCATTCCTGGGTGTGTGGTCACCACCGAAGATTGAGGTTGACCCTTATTTGCAAAATCTGTGGAAACGTTTTAAGGTAATTAGTGTGTCTGCGAGATTCAAACCCTGAGCTATTAGGGTGCTTGGACAGTGTGACAAACGGTAACCACTGTGGCACCCGAGTGAACGAGTGGCATACAGTGAAGGACAGTCAGAAGTATTTTAATACATTTTACAAGAACTGCAAGAAACGTACAGATGGAGATTGACCGCACATGTTATCAGGCGTTTAGCATTTCGATTTAGTGTGGCGGCATGTAGCTTGGCTCTGATTAATCTCCCATGTACATCTGCAGGTCCTGGGACCACAAGGTGTACATGGTACACCTAGTAATAGACACCTTGTACAAGGTGTCTATTACTAGGAGGGGGGGGGGTTGTATATCTTTAGTGCCTTTAAAAGAACTTTATTTAGTGTACATGCAGAATTTAAAAATATTCCAAGGTTTCTTCATCTCTTTCGGTTGGAAGATACCTAGAAATCGCACGCGCGTCGGGTGGAGCCTTGCATTCTAATAAGACTCTCATAGTATAAATTAGTAGTACACTTTCTACCAGGAGGCGCTCATTTTCTAACCCTTGCAGGGATAAGGTGGCATTTCTGATTAGTTGGTACACTTTTCACTAGTCTTTTATTAAGTTTGCAGGAAGAAATAGAGGGCAAATAATAGTATAAACTTTCTCCCTTCCACCATTCTTGACTGAGGGCAATTGCTTCATAATTTTCTCCGATTTAAATGTTCCCGTTTCATCAAGGACTGCCAAAGAGAAATCAAAATAACAGCAGAGAGACTAATGGGACGTGATTTCGTCCTATTCTAAATCCTTATCCCCATATTTTCCAAGTGCTACGCAGTCATACTGGCTTAGCGCTTTCTGCTGATAATTCGTACACATACATGTATAAACCTTACACAATACATGGGCAGCCAGACCAGCGTTGGTGACACGCAGAACCGAGACGACAACCTGCAACATTACCAAATCTAGACGAGGGAAATGGGACAAGGGCCCGGCTAATTACCAATGGGAACGACCCAGTCTGGACAAAGTACACAAATGTATAGAAACTTAAATCTCATTTGACACACCAGCCACCTGAACCTTCCCCACGTACAGAACCCTTCCCTTTTGATTTCTTCTCTATGCTACAATATGAATGCTATTCTCTACAGGGATCACAGTTGGGTGATCTAGGAATGTTGGCGATGAGCGACATTATGCTCAACAATGAGACCCCAATCCTTAGGCAAGCTCCAAGTTCCGGCAATCTATCAACCCATCTTCCTGTTTATATATTACCTATTGTGACGGTCGTCAACAGTTAAGAATTCATACGTACTTAGCTTTTAGATAGTAGTATACCGACTATTAAGAAATTCTTAAAATTAAAGCTAAACAACAAACGAATATTCCTAGGCCTAGTATAGCATACACACGTACTATATTAGACATCGTGTATTAGGCCTAGGAAGGTTAGGTTTAGTTTAGTTTGTCAAAGCAACAAGTAAAAAATAGTTTTCCGGTTTGTCCAACGCAATAGTTCTGATTTCTACTTTCTAATTTCGTTGTATGTCGGTAGATATACTATGGTCCTCATCGTTACTATAAGTACTACCAAACAAGAGGACGGGATGAATTATTAATACATCCCAGGAGGAGAGAGTAGCCTAGGCTATTCCTACCCTCCTGCGTCGGGACCCTAACCGCAAAGTGGGCCTTCGTACCCCAATCGTTCCCATTTGCAAATTGTCAATGTAACTGCCAACTATCTGACAAAAAAAGGAACGCCGACGAGAAACGAGAAACAGACTTTCGAAACACGACCCCGTTAAGAAAAGTTTCCATCTACTGAGCGCGCATGCGTGAAGCAACGAGATGTAAACAAAAACTAAAATCAGCTTGAAAAGTTGTAGACTTGTACTGTCGCGGTATGCCAGTTCTGACAGGTACACAACTGACCCCGTCTCTTCCCCCCCCCCTTCCCCCCCCCCCTACATACCGTCGGGGCTCGCATATTACGGTGGGTGATAAATATCATGAAAGTCGCACATTGCTCAGTCCACCTGTGCAAGTCTCATAAGAAAGTGTATTGGTAACACTCCAGCGGCAGTAAGCACATAACCCAAACCAACAAAAATCGTCAAATATAATGTAATATGGGGGAGGAGACAGACAGGACAGACGCCACACAGACTGTCTCAGGAATCTGTACACCAGTTGATTGACAGTTGAGAGGCGGGACCAAAGAGCCAAAGCTCAACTCCCGTAAGCATAAATAGGCGAGTACAGACAAACAGGACAGAATCACAGACAGGACAGAGTCGGGGAATGTAGGGGTGGAGAGAGAGGAATTCAAGGGAATTTGCAATCAAACAATTGCCTAACTTTGGGGTACCTATTTACTGCTAGGTAAAGAGAGCCATTAGGTGAGCTCAATGTGCCCCTTAATTTGTCCCACCAGGTAATTTAATCAGGGATCTCCGACTGAGTTGTGAACGAAGCCAACTGTACTACGAGACACTTGCCGATTAGTCTTGTTTAACCTGCGTCATAATAGACCTATTCCGACGTACGAGGTCCTGGTCGGAGCTAGCCATAAATTTGCATATAGTGTGCATACATAGTTTAATTTAGTCAGTAATGAAAGTAGATTTTAGAAACTAGGTATACTCCAAGGCTCTGCAGATCGATCACAAGGGGATAATGTATATCCATAATTATAACGCATATAATTTTAATTGGTAGAAATTCGACACCTAAGAAAAATCTCGGTACAGAAATTTATAAAAAATTTGGAGATTGTGAAGATATACGTTGTACACTCGCGTACGGCCACGTTCGCCCCTACTGTTTCTATTTCTGACGTACATATGATATCCTCATAACGCCCAGAGTCTGCCAGTGCAGACTACTGATCACATGCCTCTGTATGACTAACCATCCTGGGTGATGGGGATTTTTAGAATCACGTAGCTAGCTTTTTTGACACACTGTACTCCCCCTTCATATAGTCTAGGGTAGCTGCTCTAATGCAGTTGTACCTAAATGTGTTAATAAACAAAAAAATGACTTGGTTCCAGTGTTCTGTGGTGTGAATATGTGGAAGGTGGTCAATAGGCTAGTGCGGTGGCCTTGATAACCCTTCTACGGCTGATAGGCCTAAACTTGCTCCCTCCCAGCCATACCTTTCCTCACAACCCCTAGGCTTTATTTGTATTTTGATCTATCTCCTTTACATTCAACTTTCTTTTTATTAAGAGTGCAACTCTCCCCTCTGTCTGTTTTCTTTCTTTCCACGTTATCCAATTAGTTTTGTCAGGGACATGCATTTTGTGTGGGTGTATAGGAGAATGGTTGTTGTGTGAGATGAATGTGGAAAGGAACTAACCTAAGGGTTGTAAAGAAAGGTATGGCTGGAATGGAGTAAGTTTAGGCCTATCAACCGCGTAAGGGTTATCAAGGCCACCGCACTAGCCTACTGACCAGCTTCCACATTCTCATCACAGAACACTGGAACTACGACATTTTTTGCTTATTAATACATTTAGGTACATCTGCACTATGGCAGGTACCCTAGACTATATGAAGGGGGTGTGTCAAAAAAAAGCTAGCTACGCGATGCTAAAAATCCCCATCACACAGGATGGTTAGTCATACAGAGGCATGTGATCAGTAGTCTGCACTGGCAGGCTCTGGGTGCATTATGAGGATATCATGTACGTCAGAGATAGAAACAGTTGGGGCGAACGTGGTCGTACGCGGGTGTACGACGTATACCTTCACAATCTTCAATTTTTTATGACATTTATTCTAATGGAGATATTTATTAGGTATCTAATTTCTACCAATTAAAATTATATGCGTTATAATTATGGATAGACACTATCCCTTGTGATCGATCTGCAGAGCCTTGGAGTATACCTAGTTCCTAAAAATCTACTTTCATTACTGACACAGGCTCCATCGCTAGGACTGACAGCCGATTGGAAAATGATAGTGGTCCTGGTAATTTGCAAACCCAGCATACAGTAATATGATAAAGCTTGCCCAAATGAACTTGAGAGCAACAGCAGCACACAATAACTAACGGTCTGATAAAGACATTGTGCTCTGCAATCCTTTTGCGCTATCGCTCACAAGACGAGTATGGGGTGCACAATAAACTAGCCGCCTCTGGTGGCAACCATCAAAATCGTACAGTACTTGTCATGGGGAACCTTTATTACGAAGAGATCGATTAGGAATCAAGAGACGAAACCTGCGTTATTTGACTGCTTGATACCTGCTTGATGGGGTTGTGGGAGTTGCTCTACTCCCCAAGCCCAGCCCTAGGCCAGGCTCGTCTTGTGAGAGTTTGGTCCACCAGGCTGTTGCTTATCGCAGCCCGCAGGCCACATATCCACCACAGCCCGGTTGGTTGGTTGGTCGGGCACTTCTTGAGAGAAAAAAATATCTAGTTTCTCTTGAAGATGTCCACGGTTATTCCGGCAGTATTTCTTATACTTGCTGGGAGTATGAAGAACTACCATGGACCTCTGATGTTTATGCAGTGTTCTCTGATTGTGCCTATGGCACCCCTGCTCTTCACTGGTTCTATTCTGCATTTTCTGCCATATCGTTCACTCCAGTATGTTATTTTACGGCGTAGATTTAGGACCCGGCCCTCCAGTATTTTCTAGTGTATATTATTTGATATCTCTCGTCTTCTTTCTAGTGAGTACATTTGAAGAGTTTTGCGACGATCCCAATAATTTGGATGCTTCATCGCGTCTGTGTATGTCGTATATGTTTTCTGTATTCCCTCTATTTCAGCACTATCCTGCTCTGAAAGGGGAAGCGAGTACTGAGCAGTATTCGAGACGGGACAGCACAAGTGATTTGAATAGTACAACCATTGTGATGAGTTACCTTGAAGAGAAAGTTCTCTGGACTAGGCAACGTATCACCAATGGATGTTAAAAGCAGCAGCACAGGCCGTCAATGTGCCTCTGGCATTGATCTTTAATGAGCCACAAAGGGATAATTGCCCAACTGTTTAAAGAAGGCAGATGTACACGTGTACAATAAGAGAAGAGGCACTCTACTACAGCCCAGTGTCATTGACAAGCATCTAACGTGTTTGAAAGAATAACAAGCATAAGACTAGTCACACAGCTAGAGATAATTAGATATGTAAACAAACATTGCTTTAAGGAACGGCAAATCGTGCCTGACGAGCCTACTGGAGTTCTATGATAAAACAGAAAATAAGGCAGGCTAGAGAAGGCTGAGCAGATTGCATATTTCTGTACTACCAAAGCCCTTTTGATATAGTACCTCACAAAAGATTACTACGCAAATTCAACAGGCAGGCAGGAGTAAGAGGAAAAAGCACTAACGAAAATAAAGAATTACGCAATAGACAGGAGTCAGAGTCACGGAGCGTACGCACTGCTGCAAATCTTGCCAACAGGTAGCTGGAGAAGAATGAAGCAATAATATGCAATAGGAAAAAATGAACCCCATGAAATTAAAGAAAATATAATTAAAACTCACCAGTAAAGAGAAAGTTCGTTCCGAGACGAAAATAATAAAGTGAAACCTAAAATTACTTAACAAAAACCGAGCTACATCGTGAACAAGTTATTGAAGTAAGTAGCCTAGCAGAAGTTAGAGAGCAGGATAGCCACTTCGCGCGGCGCCTGTGGGTGACAGGTCTTGTGGGAGCATAACGGCGTCACCTCGGTGCCGCGAGAGGTGGTACAAAAACACAACAACAACACGCGTCCATTATTATACAGTAAGGAAGTACTGTATAATAATGGACGTGTCCGTGCCTGGGAGGCATAAAAAGACCCTGGGCCATCGAGCGCCAGGCACGCACTCACGAACCATCTTAATGTTTGTGCGTAATACTGTTTACGCTGACACTAAATAACAGTACCGACCATTACGCATCAGATTGTTGCCGCCTCCGGCGGAATAAACAAAAAAAATCAAGAACACAGTCACATTACCAGCACAACACACACCCAGGCCCACGTCAGACAGACACGGACAGAGAGAGAGACAGACACACGGACAGACAGACACACAGATACACACACACACAGGCAGAGAAAGAGAGAGGGGGAGGGCCAACGCTTGTTACAAACGCAGAGTTACACATTTATAACCATATCCGACAAAAAATCTGCCTACCCCCCCCCTTGTACACCACTGCCGTCAGTACGATGTTCTCTGTTTATCAACATCTAGAGTGTTAAGGTCACCACAAGAATTTACTAACCAACAAGCAAGTGTACTTTAGTCCTGAACATTGTCCAGGAATAAATATATATATACTGAGGAATAGGGAACACTTCACGGCGTACATGTCCCTTCGACGAGTCCCGTAAGGTCCTCCCAGTACTACGCTCACCTCCTCGAAGCCACTACACAACAATATCCATTTTTCCAAACACCATTCCAGTAGTCCAATAGAAGAGTAATACTTCTGTAATAGAGAGGAGTGGAGCGCGTCCACACGGCTCAGACGCCAACCACCAACTACTGATGGGTGAGCACCAACGCTAGCCGACTACCTAGGTACCAACGACCCGAATTACCTGCTTTAACAATGAACGGTCGACACCGTTAAGTTTCGTCGTGTCGGATAGGGACCTTGTGCTACCCGGCCATATGGCTGAAATTATTCCCTAATGATCTCTACGCACGCTCCAAAGACTTTAATTTATAGGCGTATAAACCAACTCAATGCAATCGGCCAACTTTCTCCTCGTTGATGTATATATGAACACATATGTATATTTCCAGGGGTCCTCTTGGGTGTCGTGGAGAAACTAAGGGACCCTCTCTCCAGGGACCCACCAACGGTCCCTGGAGAGAGGGCGCATGCCCCGCCCATCTCAGACTGTCCAATCACAGTTCAGTACGTTTATTGAAACAATAAAATATATATCTCAAAGGGATAGAGTAGCTTAGGCTAATTCTACCCTCTAATATATATTACTGTATTTCTACACAGTTCGGTGTCCTTACAGCAGGCTGCCACAGTTATTAATGCACCCAGACGACTGAAAGGGCTACGGGCTCACCATACCCCGTGTTACTTGGAACTTTTTGTTCCAGGTAGCGAATCTGAGGAAAGGAGGATAGAAGAACAAACCAGTGAATCTGTACGATGGTACAACATGGTTGCAGCTGGCAATCCCAATCATTATGGCCGAAGAGGAGGAGGACGAGGGAGAGAATCAGTAATAGCGAGAATCCGTCTTGGATACAAATATCCATGAAGATATGGAATGGAAACAACAGTTGATCAGCGAAGTTGCAGAATCTGTGGTGAGAGTGATGGACACCGCCTTGACCACTATCTACGTGAATGTGAACATCTGAGAGACATCAGAAGTACGTGTAGAATAATAAACCCCACATTGTTTGAGTTAGGAAAACACTATTTGTCAAATATTGATACTGTTCTTAAAAGATTTCCCCATTTTGCACCCGCGAGATAACGTAAGCTTTTAAGGGTTGATAGATGTTAATCTTCTTGTTTGAGGAGCTGTTCACTTGAGACAGTTAAGCAAGTCCCAGCTGTGTCTGGGTACAAGTGACAGGATGAACAACCCAGCGGGTTTTCTTCCTATTGGGGAGTGTTGTACATGCTGCTATGGCGGTGTGTCCACTCACAAGATGAGTGGCGCTGCCCAATAAACTCGCCCCTCGGGGCAAAATTAAAAACAAAATTTACTTTAACAACGACTGAAAGGGTAGAGGAGGCAACGCTAAGGAGAGGGTTGAGAGCCACTTGTTAGTGTTGGTAGCAGGATCCGCTTGATAGCTCTTTTGTTCACCTAATTGTGCTTGCAGGGGTTGAACTTCAGCTCTTTGTTCCTGCCTCTCAACAACAATGATCTGGTGTTTCTGAGCCTTTTGAGCAATATCATATCTACATTTTAAACTGTATGTAATCAGCCTCCACCACATCACTTCCTAATGCATTACATTTGTTAACTCTAACACTAAAAATGTTCTTTATAATGTGTCTGGCTCATTTGGGTACTTAATTTCCACCTGTACGGTCAGGTGAAGTCGGTCAGGTGAAGCAGTCGGTCAGGTGAAGTCACAGTGAGAGGTTGTGTTAACCGGAGCTCCTGAGTGTTGTTATATTATCATAGCAATATGGAAGTTGTAGTGAAGGACCTGGTGACTCTAGTGGGAGCCCTGAGGACAGAGTTGGACTCTCTGCGGGAGGAGGTGCGTCAGCTTAAAAAACAACGAGAAGTAACGAAGGAGGAGACCAGCAGTAAAGGGACCTCGTCTTGGAGAGTTGCGAAAGACAGGGGCCTTAAGAAGACTTTGATAAAGCCGCCTTCAAACGCCATAGCAACTTCAAATTCATTTGACGTTTTGGAGGACGAGTGCTGTGGAGAGACTGTGGATCGCGCAAAAGGGAAAGCAACGAAGAGAAAGGAAGCGCAGGCCCCTCAGAAAGTAAAGGAAGTACCTAAGCAAACATTAGTTGTGGGAGATTCCCAGATAAGGTATTTGGATAGAACGTTTTGTGCTAGAGATAGGGGGAACAGGTTAAGGGTTTGCTATCCCGGAGCTGGCATTGGTGATATTATAAACAACATGAATGATATTATGGCTGGTAATGGGAACAATCCCATTATTTGCATTAGCGTGGGAGGAAATGATGTTGGTCGAGTCAGGAGTGAGGAACTGATTCAGAGGTATAAAACAGCCATAGAGTTAGTTAGGAGCAAGGGAGGAATCCCGATCATATGTGGCATTCTTCCAAGAAAGGGAGTGGGAAATGAATGGATATCGAGGGCACTTGGTGTCAATTGCCGGCTGGAAAGATATTGCAAATCAAATGCAATATCTTTCATAGACAACTGGGAACACTTCTATGGAAGAAATGAAATGTATGCTCGTGATGGGGTGCATCTATCGAGAGCTGGGGTTGTTGCTGTTGCGAACTCGCTAGAAGAAGTGGTTAGAGGTGTTTGTTTGGGTTTAAACTGTTAGTAGATAGAGGTATGGGAATTGATTTGGAGGAAGGAGGTAATAAAAGTATGTGTTTGTGGGAGAAAGGAATTGGCAAAACGATCAGGGAAAGAGAAGGTCCGCAAAATAACAATTCACTTAGGGTATATTACACTAACAGTAGAAGTCTAAGAAATAAAATTAACGAATTAAATGCTCTTGTCTGCACAGAAAAAATAGATATTATTGCACTTACAGAAACGTGGATGAATGTAGAAAACAGAGAACTATTAGCTGAATATCAAATATATGGATTTAAACTATTTCACACAGATAGATATATTAGACGAGGAGGTGGAGTAGCCATATATGTTAGGGACAATTTGAAATGTAGTCTCAAAGAGGGAATCAAAACAGAGCCACACACAGAAACTATTTGGATTGAATTAAACGAAAAAGCTAATAATATTATAATAGGAGTAATATATAGGCCACCAAATTTAGACAGAATGGAAGCAAAGCATCTATGGGATGAAATATCTAGAGCATCTAGATCTAACAGTATTTATGTCATGGGTGACTTTAATTTTAGCGGAATAAACTGGTTGAACAAAACAGGGAATAGTGAAGCAGAAGATTTTCTAGAATTAATTGACGATTGCTTTCTTACGCAACACATTAAGGAACCAACACGGGAAAATAATATTTTAGATTTAGTGTTAACTAACAGGGAAACGCAAATTAATGACATCGAAATAGGGAGTGAGCTAGGGAGCAGTGATCACAAAGAAATCAGATTTAGCATAGAATGGAATAGACCAGTAGGAGAAAATTCTGTTAAAGTGCCAGATTTTCGAAAAGCTGATTTTAATAGCCTAAGAAATTTTTTGGGTCAAATTGATTGGAAAGGCTTGGGTATGGGGTGTGGGCCGGTCTTGGAGCGAGACATGAACCCAGCGATAGGTGACTTAAATGGGGATTTCGATGTGGATTCAATATATAACTTATTTAAGAATATTCTAAACAAAGCACAGGAACGTAGTATACCATACAAATTGAATAGATCGTATACTAATGACCCAAAGTGGATAACAAAGAATTTGAAGAACCTTATAGGTAAAAAGAGAGCTTGGTACAAAAGGATTAAAAATGGGGAGGTCACTTTAGAACAGGAATTCGTACAACTGGTTAGAAATGTTAAAAAAGAGATAAGGAAAGCAAAAAGAAACTATGAAGTTCGCATAGCAGGGCAAGCAAAGACAAATCCTAAAGGGTTTTTTCAGTTATATCGTACTAAGACTAGGGAAAGGATAGGTCCATTAAAAACTGAGACAGGTCAAATAACAGATAGTGATGAAGAGATGAGTAGTATTTTTAATAAATATTTTGTATCTGTATTTACTAAAGAGGAACTTAACAATATGCCTTCAGCCGAACAAGTCTATGTGGGTGGGGACGAGGACAGGTTGACGAGTTTAGCAGTTACCAGGGAGGATGTTCTTAAACAAATAGTAAAACTCAAACCAAACAAATCCCCAGGGCCGGATGAAGTGTTTGCTAGGGTGCTTAAAGAATGCAAAGAGGAGCTTTGTGACCCACTGTCAACCATATTTAATAAATCAATAGAGTCAGGCAGAGTGCCAGAGTTTTGGAAAGTTGCTAATGTGATACCAGTTTTTAAGAAAGGAGATAGATCACTTGCGTCTAACTATCGACCAATTAGCCTAACGTCTATTGTGGGAAAGTTACTCGAATCTATAATAGCAAATAAAATTCGTCTTCATCTTGAAAAACATAAATTAATAATTGAGTCGCAACATGGTTTTATAAATGGCCGTTCATGTTTAACAAATTTGTTATCTTTTTATTCTAGCATTGTTGAGGCAGTTGATAGTGGTAAGGATTGCGATGTTGTATACCTTGACTTTAGCAAAGCTTTTGATACAGTGCCACATGAAAGACTGATTAAAAAAATAGAGTCTCATGGTATTGGGGGTGCTATATTAAGCTGGATTAGGGCATGGCTATACCAAAGGAAACAGAGAGTTAGTATAAATGGAATCAAGTCAGAGTGGGAAAATGTTGTAAGCGGAGTGCCTCAAGGCTCTGTCCTGGGACCTCTGTTGTTTATAATATATATAAATGATTTAGATTCAGGTTTGAGTAGCAACATTTGCAAATTTGCCGATGATACGAAAATCGGTAGGGAAATTAATTCGGAGGAGGACTCACTATCACTTCAAGTTGATCTAGATAGGGTTTTGAAATGGTCAAAGGATTGGCAGATGCAGTTTAATGCTGATAAATGTAAAGTTCTGAGGTTAGGTAATGATGATAGAGTTACAAGATACGAGCTAGATGGTGTTGTGATTGCGAAGTCGGATTGCGAAAGGGATCTGGGAGTTATGATTAGTAAGAATTTAAAACAAAAGGATCAATGCATAAATGTTCGTAATAAGGCAAATCGGACACTTGGATTTATTAATCGCAGCGTTAGTAACAAGACACCTGGTGTGGTTCTCAAGCTATATCTTGCTCTAGTTAGGCCCCATTTAGATTATGCAGTTCAGTTT